ATCAAATTCACACAATTCTTCCACCATTCTTTTTTTCTCACTTGTGTAATATTCCAAAGTACATTTATAAAATTAGAATAAATAATAAAGTAATTTTTGATATTTTATTAATTGTTAGGGGGAGATCAATAAGATATGTTGGCCGTGCAATGGATTTTCTCTTGATCTTTACTTGTTAGGTTGTTCGTTCGAATCTTAGTGGTGCATGGAGAGAGAATTTTATTTTTTATTTTTTAGCTTAATCTAGATGAAATTACATGTTTGCCCTAAAAAAAAAAAAACAGAAACAGAACACAAAAGCAGAGAAGTCAGAAACGCAATTAATATACTCCTCCTCTGCCATTGTATTTTTTTTGGGGATTTCGCTAGAAGTCGAGAGAGAGAGAGAGAGAGAGAGCTGGATCCCTTCATTGTTCCTCCTCCCTCTCTGTCCGTCGGTCGGTGATCGTGGGTGCGCTTCTTGCCGCCGTCGCTGGAAAATCGAAGGTGCGCCAGATTTTCTCTTTTTCACTCTTCATCCCTGCTGCGTCATCTCATTTGTTCTTGCTTCTTCTCCTATCTTCTTCCTTTTGGTGGCTGGCGTGAGTTAGCGTTACCGGCGAGTGCAAGAGATAGTTGGATGCTGTTGGAAGATCGATTTATGGTTTCTCTCCTCCTCTGTTTCACTGTGATATCTTCCGACTTCCTCCCTCCCCATTTTCGCGTGACAGAATTCTCTTCTCTTTCTTTCTGGTTTGCTGCCCCTAATCTGAATCTGATGTGGAACGCCCATATGGTTGGGAAAGCTCTGATCCTTTCATCTCATCTCTCATTCATTCCATAGGTGAGGAAATTTCTACCTCTCTTCTCTTCCTCATCGGATTTGTGTGCGCATGAATGATGGGTGGCTGAAATTATGAACTTCTTTCTATGTTAAATTGTTGTGCGTGAATGAGTAGAGCTGTAGAGGTGGGAATCCAAAACTAGATGAGTTGCATGTTTTAAGAAAGCTCACTTGATTACTTTGGCTAATGTAAGAGGAGGAAAATGAATTTACGTTTGATTTTCTTTTTGAGTTTAAATTAATTCTTGGTGGGATGAGTAAATATACACACATATATGATAAATTCAAATATTGATGCTGATAATCATTGGGCAAGTAATTGGAGGTTAAGAAACTCCGTTAAATGGCTTGAAAATGATGTACATAAAGTGTTTGACATAAAGCCAAAGAAAAAGCTATAAACCAATGGAGTAAATACTTATGACTAAAATAATATAGAGAAATCTTAGGATATATATAAATGGAAGTGAATTAGGAAACTTTGAGTTACTTAATTTGCTTTTGATTATATAAATGTTGAATAGGAAATTGTTTAATTTGAACAAAGGCTAATAAAATTTATAAAGAAATTTTATAGGATTTGGAAGAAGAAAAATTTGAAAGGAACTTTGGAAAAGAAAAAAATATTTGACTGATAATTCAAATATCATGTTTGGTTGTTCTTATGGTAACTTTTAGGACACTTAAAGTATTTGATGAAAGGATGAAAAAAAAAAAACTGAAATGAGGTCAAGGCAAATGGAATAAGTTACAGTAAGAATTGTTTTATTATTATTATTAATATTATTATTATTATTATTTTGAAGACTTTAAAATTTTGAATATAGTTTATATATGTATTCTTGACATTTATTGATTAAACTTAACATGTAATTTTATTGTAAATGGTGACAGATTAGAGATTTTCTTCTCTATTGGTTTAAAATTAGCTTGGATTGAAGATTTTGGATTTATGAAATGTATAAAATAAATAACAATGATATCATTTGGGTGTTAGGGAATTAAGAAGCAGATAATATTATAAAAACAAATGATCAAGAGTAATTCATACACTTGAAAATATTTCAGGTAAATGAATAGCATCCCAGTGACTCGTTGGTAAATTCATTTTTATAAAAATATTGGTTTAGCATATTCATGCACCATCTCTTTTATTTACATAACATTTTTATTTTGCAAGAATAAATGATAAAGTATTTTATTTATTTATTTTTATGGTTCATAATCTTAATTTTATTTTCAACTATCATGCATGGAAATATTTTCATTATATTATACTTTATTATATTATATTTTTATGGAAATAGTTGGGATTTATCTTTCAATTGAACATCTAAAAGTATCTACTATATTGAAAATGTTGAGAAGAGAAAATATATTAATTTTGTCCACCAATGCACGTCTGATTTAAAGTGTAAGATTGAATCAAAATACTGGTTGCTAACAATAATACTGTTAGCCTTTGACGCGCCATGGTACACCTAACTAACAGGGTGCTTAGGAGGTGCTAACTCTGTGCAAAGGCCAATGCACATGGTATGGAGGGACGGTAATTCGTGAATATTGTATTCACGCTTGTTTTCGTAGGCCTATGCCTGCACTTGTTTCGCAGCTTCTATCTTCATTTAGTTACTTACCCTCATAGACTATGTGTCTATACTTGTCAATTGTTCTGATAAAGTTCCATTGTAATGTTAATTTTTAGAAACTCATTGTTTTAAATTTCTTTTTCTATTAAATAAATTGTTATTTGATCATAAATGATTTTATAAGATGAAATAACTCAATTGTAAAGCAAAGGGTATAATTTGAATTTTTTTTATTATCACCTTTAATCAACTAGGTATCTATTTGGTTCATATATTTAGATTAGATTGTTTATACTACGTAAAGTATTTTCGTTATAATAATAGTTATTTTTGTGAAGATCAAAATGTTTCATAAATATTTTCTCCCTTTACTTTACTGAAATCTAAATTAAGACATTATTTACTGAAAGTTTATTTTTGGTCTCAAATAATATAGCAGACATTGTATGTTCTGCTGACCACTGAGAGATTTTTTGCTGAGCAAGGTGGACATTTTTTTTTTGTAAATATCTCTTTTTCATATAATTATGAAATTTATGTATTATCTTGTGAAAATATGGTTAGGTACTCTACATAGACTATAATTAGGGTTCTTATTTGGTTATATACCTTGTCTGCTAGCTAGATGGAGCTATGCTCTTGATTTTAGTAATATTTTGCTTGTAAAAAATGTATTGCAAAATTTTTGAGAAGTCATATTTATAAGGGAGGTGTTTTTGAAATTCTTATAAAAGTATTAAGGCTAAATGGATATGTGTTTTGTATACATATCCCATGTTGGTCGCTTTTATAATTCATGATGTGACAACTTGGCTGAACACACCCCTTCCATTTGCAAAGACAATTGAACCTTGGATCCACCATTTTCATGGAGTCCTACAAGGCTAGGTCAAGTACTTGGGAGGGTAAGATGATGATGATATTTTCTAGCTAAATTCTAAATGGAATCCTAAGAAGGAGTTGATGGAAGAGAAGCATTGAAGATTATCTTTGACTAAGCTCATCCTAATCCTTATCTTGTTTCATTTTAATTAGTAGACTATAACTACGATTGAATTGCAGTTCATTTTGACTTCAGTATTATAGTTGGTTGTAAATGGTTGTATTGAAACAAGATTGTTGACTTGATTTTTTCTCCCTTTTGTCATTGGAATTTTGGCAACCTTGAGTTTATTACATTGGAATGTGATTTTCAATTGGTGATAATCTTGCATTGACTCTATATAGTTGTGTTTGGCTAGTATTTGATCAAATGCTTGAGTTACATAGTTTTGTAATTGAGTTACCTTTGGACCATGGCAATTTGGAGGAGAGATTTGACTAAACACTTGGTTAATTTCTAAGCTAAACTAGTGAGGTAACTTAAGGGCTTGTAATTTTGTCTTATGGAATTGAATTAGTGAAGCTAGGTTACCTAAAATAGTTGTTTTAGGGAATCATCATTTTTAGCCAAGGGAAAAAGTTTGAGTAAGCTGCCACATTCATTTACAAGCTAAGATTCTTCTATTAACAATATGCTAGGTTTCCTACTTGATAAGGGAAATTCATCACACACATTTTAGTTTAGGTTGCAAGTTTAATTCATTAGGTAATTAGGTAATAATTTCAATCATTTTGATTAATCTATTCACCTAGTTTATTTGACTAAGAAGTCTGAATCACCTCCTTTTAAGAGGACCTAGGGTTGGCCTAAATACTACATTTATGTTAATTCTAGTTTAATTTTAAGAGATAAGCGACTAAGTTCCATCCATATGACATGTGGGGGAAGGAGAAAGATTGACGTGGATATATTCTTTTTTTTTTATTTTTAATTTTTAAAATGTGAGGTGCCAACAAATTGAGTCAAAGTTAGATTAAAGGTCAGCACGATCAAAACTTGATGGCACAGTGAAATCATGCCAAATGAAAAAACATTGGGGTGAAATTATGCTAAAAATATCTTAAGAATCTAAGGTATGCTTATGTGAAAACTTTGAAGGTAGATTTGTATTTAAACCCTATATATACTACATGTGCATTTAATATTATTTTTATCTAATTATTACATTACTAATTCAATTGTTGGTGTAACCGATTAAATCATAAAAATTGAGACCCAATGACCTTTCCATTTCAATACTTGGTTTGGCTTTTAAAAGATTGATGAGTGAAAAAGAACCAAGATGCTTGAAGAAATGAGAAAAGGGACTTGAATGAGAGAGAAAGCTTTATTTCACATTTAAATTACAAAATACATCAAATTACTAACTTTTTGCTCTCCCCCTTCTTGTCACTCTTCTTCCTCCTTCTCTTTCCTCTCTCCCTTCTATTTTTACTCACTACGTTACGCCACTTCTCTCTTCACCACCTTTTTCACCACACTTGGCTTCCTTGTTGCCACTTCATTACGTTGCCCAAATAACTCACTGTGTCCTATTTATAGATGAAAAATGTGTGTGCCCTCAACAAGCCACTCTTCTTATTTGGAAACCTCCTTTACATTGTCTTGCTTTCCAAGTTGCATTTTAGTTTTATCATTATTTTTTTCCATTTAGTGAACCATTTAAATTAGTGATGATATTTAACAAAAATTAGAGATGCAAGTGTTGAAACTGAAATAACCAATTTAATGTCAAATCCAAATTATTAAATATTACACTGGATGTTACAATTTACATATAGATCCTTGCATATCATTCCTGTTAATTTAAGACTATAATATATTTGTACTAATAATGTGATCAGATATTCTTTCCGATTTTCCTCTAAACCACCAATTTAAGTGTATTGCTTGATATTGGTTCTTCTTCTTTATCATTTGGTAATTTCTACATTTTATTCAAGCTATCAGGAACTACTTCACTTGCATTCTGTTGAATGATTGAACGATCACTATGACTAACATATTCATCAACCTCATGATTGTTGTTATGAGGGCTGCTTTTATCATCTTCTGGTGATTTCACTTTGATTTCATGAAGGTTCTGTGATGCAGCAAGTTGATTCATATTCTCCATCTCTTTGCCTTTTCCCCATAGAATCATGTATAATCCACACACTATCAACAAGCCTCCTATTATACTGCAAATTTGCAATACCAAGTCATAAAATTATAATGTAAGTCCAACATATAATTCAAATGTAATGTGCGCATGAGTGCACACAAGCATACGTGTTCATATGCACAAAAAATGTTACACATACAAGCTTTTTAGAAACTAAAAAAACTCCCTCGGATGTGTCTTGTAAAGTCAACTAAATACGGTTTAGAATCTTAATTTCATCAAAAAGAAAGGTGAACTTCCAAAAATATCCTTTGTTTAATAAATGAGAGAGTGAGAGAAAGAAAAAAAATTTAAAGAATGAAATAATGAGGAGTAGTTTTTAAAATAAGCTTCATTAATACTTCCTCCGATCTTTAATATATATAAGACAAACTTAAACAACTCCATGCTTATTGATGAAGATAGTTATATCCTAAAAATTGTTTTTTTTTAAAGAATCCAACTTTTCAACTTTGCCATTCTTTATAATCAGTAATTAATCATGATAGATTTCTCTGTAGAAATTCAAACCATGCATCATAAATAAGTAATAGGTAAAATTTGAAAAGAAAATTAATTACTCTAATTTTGTCTTATATTAAGGACAAAAAAAAATTTCAAAGTTTGCCTTATATTAAAGACTGGAAGGAGCATCAATGAATCATTATTTTACCAAAAAAAAAAAAATCTTATACTTCCTTTGGTTCCATTTATAAGCTAGAGAGAAAGATGAACATTTTTTGTTCTAACTATAAGATATGTCATTAATCTTTATCACAAATTTTCACTCATCCATAATATTCATAAATAGGGGTAAATTTTGAAACTAATTAATTTTTTAGACAGAGAATTAATAAATAATTTTAAGATAAAAAATGTTAATAGTAACTTACAAATAGGACTAGATGGATGGAGTAAAATAGAGTGAAAGTAGTATTTATAAAAATAAAAAAAAACTGTGCGTACATGAGTGTGTGTTGCATTAATATGAAAAGCAAGCATGTGTACCTTTCAAGATATAGCTTCTCATCTAACATGAGAAAACCAGCAATTGCCACAAATACAAGCAGAAGAGGATTGAAAGCAGCCACATAGAGAGGGCCTTTCATGTCCAAACACCATGCCATCATCACCACCATTACTCCAGAAACAATTATTCCCTGTATTCAAGATTACAACAAATTTCATTCATCCAAATCAAATGAAATATAAAAATTTATTTTAACAAAATATGTCCATCTAAGTAGATAATGATCAACAAGTAGTGCATGAACATAAGGATAATAAGGAGTCATATTTTAACAATTTTGGAATAAAAATAATTCAAAATCGAGTTCAAAATATCAAAAATCCTATTCATAAAGTTGATAAGATGGCTTATAACATACGTATAGGCCATTCTAAGATTGCTAACAATCCTAAGAGTTGAAACTAATATACAACATACCGCATAAGCCACTGTAAGAAGCCTAATATTCCAACCTAGCTTCCATTGAGTCAAATCTCTCTCAAGGCAAAAAGCAAATGAAGTTGATAAGATTGCTGCTATCAAACTCATCAAAGCCGTGCTCGAGTAATAACATGGATAACTCTTGCCCATCTTAGCCTGTATTGCAACAACCAAACAAATGTCAAATTTGCAATTAGTTGAACTTCCATTTGATTAACATGATAATGTTGAACACACTTAGTTCAACTAATTAAGAAAATTGAATCATTTTATATAGTTTAATATCTTGAATTTAAGTCTTGAAATATATATGCACTTGCATTAAAAAAAATGTTAAAATTATGATAGATCTATGCAGTTGTTGTTGATAATACTGTTATCACATAACGGGAACTCAAATTAGTATGAGCAGATGGTAGTAATTCCACCAAATATTTTAAGATACTAAATGAATAAATAAAAAAAGTGAAAATCATGTTAAAAAAATCTCCTTTTTCATTTGAAAAAATTATGTTCATTTTCACTTTTTTCAGAGAAAGACCTCAACCTCATGTTAAAAAAAAAAAATCTCCTTTTTCATTTAAAAAAAATTATGTTGATTTTCACTTCTTTCAGAGAAAGACCTGAATGATGAGCCATAAAGCATACGTGGCGCTGCTTCCAAGAGAACAAAGGGCGCCCAAAAGAGACTTGATACTTGATGAAGATAGTACTGTTGGCACGTGGTTGTTTTGATGATGCATCAGGGTAACGTGGAAGGATCCTGTGTTTATTTTTGCTCCTTTCAATAACGTTAGGATCATAGCCCCTCCTATTGCCACTATTGTTCCAATGATCTTGACTTGTCCTGCTACTGATCTTAAATTCAATCTTTCCAAACTGTTCACAAATTCAAGCGCATACAATTTAAAATCACCAAATCAACATTATGAACATTAGTTAGAGTTAATAAAAAAATTAGATTACTCAAGTGCATTTAAATAAGCACCATAATATATAAAACTGAATTTAGGGAGGGGGAAGGGGTTAATTAAACAAAAACTACTAAAAATAAAAGAGAAAACTTTTCTTTATGACGAATTAAAGTTTAAATTTTTATGAAAAAAAATATTTATATTTAATGTTTATTATTGTTCTCAATAGGAGGATTGTTTTCAATGAGATGATACTGGATATCTATGAACAATGAAAAAAAAAATTTCTTTGATGCAAAGGTAGACTTGAGTTGGATATGTTACAAGACAAAACCATCACAGAACCAAGTTATATTTTAGAGAGAGGTATAGAGATTATATTGAAGCTAAGAAAAGAAATTAAATAAAAAAACGTATAAATAAATGAAGAGAAATGAAATGAAACTCACCGGAAGGAGACGGCCATGAGAAAGGTGACGGCTGGAGTAAGATTGGTCATCGTGGAAGCAAATGTTACTGATGTTAAAGCCAACGACTCCAAGAATGCGCTTTGTGACATTACTCCACTACGTCATAATTATATAGTTAATTTATGCCATTTGTTTCTCACTAACTAATAATAATAATAATAACAATATCTAAGCACTGTGTGTTTGTGAAGGAAATACGTGTCCTGAAAAGATAGTATAATTTATACTAAAATTATATTCATATGATCAAAATTAAAATGTTAACCTAACATTAATTACTAATCAGTCATTGTGCACATTCATTAACATACATAATCTGAATAATTATATATATATATATATATATATAAAGAATGAATGTGAAGATTGATCGTCACTTAATTAATAAATTGTACATGGAAATAACAAAACATTTTGGAATAAGTATTTAAATATTTATAGATATTATCTCTTGATACGTCACCGATTCCCACTCATGAGTGTGCAATGTGTGTTCCTCTGCAATTGTCCCCAAATAATAACGATGATGATGAAATTGACTCTCTCTTGGCAAAAATTAATGATAATGGTGATGATGATGACAATATATCAACCTTTTTTGTAAAAAGAAAAAATAGTTTAAACGGTAGTGAGTGACAGGGAAGCAAGAAAATGCTTTGATGTGCGTAAAGTTACAAAAGAAAGGTGGAACAGGAGTCAAGCTTCACTGCGTCTATTTATATGCTTTAAAAAAAAAAAAAAAAACCTTTGTCTTTAAAGTGAAGTTTAGAAAAAATGACAACAAAGTCCTCAAACATAAAATCTATAACAATTAAGTATCCAATAAAATTAAAAAAATTAATTACAAATATTGATTTAAATAATTATAAACATAAATACTAACAATAAATTTAAAGTTGTATTTAAAATTTAAATATTTTATTTATAGTTAAAACTTTTAAATTTGTAAATACTTGAATCAATATTTACAATTGATTTTTCAGATAATTTTATTGGGATTTAACTATCATAAATTTGTTGTTATGGGTTTTTAATATCATTATCCCTAATGTTAACTTTATATTTATTATTGTCAAACTCTTAAGTTAACTCTCTGAATTTATTATTTTCATATTTTTCACTTATAAAATCGTGTTAACTTATTCATAAACTCATATTAGATGAAACTTAGTTACACTCTTAAATTAAATCTCCAAGTTTATTGGTTTTATATTTCTAGCCTATAAAATCGTATTAATCCACTCAAACTAATTGAATAAGATAGATATATACTGCGTAAAACTTGGTTCACAAAAGTAATAGGACTTAGTTCAATGAAAAATAAAATTAAAAAATAAAAACCTAATATTAATAAAAAAGAAAACAAAAAATACCAAAAATAAGTTGCCCTATTTTGAAATTTCTATGTTGAGTATAATAATGTATAAATGTACAAGGATTTAATCTCAATGAGTTATATTTGAAATATATTTGAATTAAATTATAATTAAATTTTATATTTTAACTATTTAATCATATGCTTTTAAATGTTATTTATTTATAAAGGTAAATTTACCATTCAAGTATATATTTTAAGTTTACATCCCTACCATAAATTTATTTAAATTTATGAGTTTAATAACTTTGTTTGTATTCAATTACCTTTAAAAACATCCAATTGCCACTGAGAAAACATCATCCTTTAAGTGTCACATACCTAAAATATAGACAGCCCGCATCTCTCCCTTTTTCTTTTTTCCTTTTTTTTAAACATATATTTAAGACTTGTTTTTAAATATACTTTTAATTTTAATTTTCTTCAACACTCTCATCTCAACTTCATTAAAGGTAATTTAAAGAATTATAGAAGTTTTTTATATTAATTTAACTTCTTTATCTGATTTTCTTGATCTATGTAAAGTAATTAATAGGTTCTTACAGTAATTGCTAATTATTTTATACATACCCAAATAGCCCACACAGAAATGACTGAAACAGTACGCTCCACGTCATCTTTGGTCTTTTATTCCTGCAAAAAATGTGCCCAAATAAGCTATTGAAATTTCTTTCTTCCGCAAGCATATTGGAGCACAAAGATTCTTTTTCCTCTTTTTTTTTAATCTTTCTTGCCTTGTATATTGGGATTATGGATTTTAATTAAAAAAAATTACACCTGGGTCTCATGAAAGAGAATTTATTATTGACAGGTCCCGTAAAATTAATAAAATACTCCCAAATCTCTAATTATGCACATTTATAACCTCGCAAAGGGTATTTACAAGTTGTAAATACTCCTTGTCCAATTATAAATGTCCTTGTCAAATTGTAAATGTGTAAAATTTAAGATTTAAAAATATTTTATGAATTTTAGAAGACCTCTTGGCACGTAATAAATTCTTTTTTATAGGACCTAGATATGATTTTTCCTTTTAATTACTACTATTGCTATAACTGCTTCGTGAATTTTCTCAAACCGTTATGTCATGAGACATAGATCTTTGCCTCGCTCAAATGGTTAATTACCACTGTAAAGCTTTGAGATGCAAAACTGTAGAAAACTAAACAGAGAGTACCTATAATCATTTTCTTGTGACTTTCAAAAAATATCTTAATCCATTACCTTATCTTATGGGTATATTTCCAACTTATAACCAAGAAAATTATTTAATTTATTACATGTATGTATATTATTTTGAATCTTTCATAGTATGCAACAGAAACTAATTAATCTTTCTTATATACTCCCTTTGAATCAAAATATAAGATATTTGTAATTAATTTATAGTTCTAAAAAAATGTTAGTTGAAATTTTAATTTATTAAAAAATTACATCTTTTTAATTTTATCCTCATTAAATATCCTATAGAAGTGTTTTGATAGTGTTAATTAAAGAGTAATGAATAAAATAGGTGTATAGTTGAAAAAAACAATTATAACAACTATCTCATACCACTTCTAAAAAAATATTTTACATTATAGTCCGGGGGGTGGATTTTTCTGGTATATAAAAAGTTGGGAATCCAAGACAAGATTAAAAACATGTGAATAAGACCTCACTTCATTTGGGTCCCTGGTGTGGAACACATGCCGATAAGATTAGTGTTCGAGGTGGTAAAATAACCCTTAACCAAGACAGTACGAGGAATCATATATATATATATATATATAAGAAATGAGTTAACCTTTCCAGAACGAGAGCAAGAGGAGCAATAAAGAGAGTGGCGAACATAAAGCGATAGGCGATGACTATTCTGAGGTCCATGCCGTCGTTGACGGCGAGCTTTAACAGCACATTAATGCCGGCGTACGTTATCTGAAGTACCACCATCAACATCACCGGCTTTAACCCCTCAACCAAATTCCGTACGTCTGCCATCTTCGTCATCGGCGATTGTCAGAACCGGCCACCACAAGCGGCAGCAACGACCCAGCAATCAGTTATCGTTGGGAAGAGACATATATATATAGAGAGAGAGAGAGAGAGAGAGTAGCAGGGATTAATGGTTTCGTCTGTGAAGATGATATATCATTTATAAAGGAAAAGAAGATTATAATTTCCGGAGGAAGAAAGGGGAGCGTTACTTTCTTTACTGCGCATACATTATTGCGATTGCTTGTGGACAGGAAAATGCTGACCACATGCCTGCTACGTGATCTTCTCATCTTCCACTTCGTTAGTCTCACTGAAATTATATGGAAAATTTTAATTTTACTAACATTATACTCCCTCCGTCTCTGTTTATAAGAAAGATTATTATTTTTTACTTAATTTTTTATATAAATAAAATTATATATTTTAATAAGCATTTATTATATATTTTTTAAATCGCTCTTCATAATTTACATCAATGAAAAATAATTAATGTATGCTTATGTTGATTAACATAAGATATTTTAATCTAATTTTTTTAGATATAATTATTATGGTTTAATAACTTTTTTAAATGTGTGATATAGTTTTTTCGCTTATATATAGAAATGAAGGGAGTATATTTTAATTTTTAAATATAATTTACGTTTAAAATAAAAATAAATTATACTAATTAACCCAAAACTAATAATCAAATACATTATAGAGATTTTCAATTTTCTAGAACATATATTTTGACAAATAAATTTCATTATACATGTTTGGCCAAAAATATAAACATTTATATAATTGATGTAGTTGGTATATTTAGATGAATACTACACACCTCCTCTCTCCCACCCACCATAATATAGAGGCTAGAGTGTTTTCTAGAAGTCCTGTTTAGTTTAAAATATAAGGGATTGAGTAGGTTTTACATATTTTTTATAATTATACCCTTACTTGATTATACTCTAATTAATGATTTTGAATAAGACAAATGATTTATTTATTTCACTCTGTAAAATTTTTTAGAAAATCAAATTTTAACTAACTTTTGTTAGAAAGATAAATTAATTAACAATGAATTATATTATGTTCTGAAAAGTATATTTCATTATGCGTGTGTTATAAATTCTCATGTAACTTCTGAATATTTTTTTTAAAGAAAAAATTTATAACCGGTGCTTTTACACACATCATTTATCACATATTAGTTGGGCACTTTAGTGTCCACTAATTGGCTCTTTAATTATATTGATATTTCTTTAGAGGGATACATCGGGATCGACTCGGGCTTTCGCCTTTTGGATGGATGTTTTTTTTCTTGACTAACTTTTCAAAAGAATGACTTTAATCAAGATAACACAAGTGTCTCATCGACACAGATCCTCATCAACTACGTGCGCGCATGTCCAAGATAATGATAATAATGCTCGCAGAAAGTGAAAATACCATTTATAGGGAAAATTACACATAACTCCCGTGGAGCAAACTTATTTATAAAAAAATCTTACAAAATTCAAAAACTATAACTAAATCCCTTGAAACTTGTGTATAATTTGAAATTAAGATATAAAGACAATAATACCCCTATTTAATATATATACATTACATCAATCAAATAATTTACAACTACTTTATCGATAATTATAGCTATAATTTTAACTTTTTATAACTGTAATTTCATATACCTAATAATTAAATTAATTAATTTAAGTATTAAATATGTGAAACTGCAATTATAAAAAGTTAAAGTTATCATTATAAATTATTGATGAAGTAATTGTAAACAATTAATGCTACACTTTGTTAGTAACACATGATTATTTAATTATTGAATATGTGAAATTACATTTATAAAAAGTTGAAATTATAATTGATTAATTTAATTATTGAATATGTAAATTAATTATTTGATTAATGTAATGCATGTTTAATAGAGGTATTGTTGTCTTTACAGTATAATTTTAAATTACACTCAAGTCTTAAGGGATTCAATTGTAGTTTTTAAATTTTACAAAACTTATTTATAAATAAGTCTATTATATAGGACCTATACATAATTTTCCAATTTATAATGTCTTGTATTTCTATTTGGCGCATTTCCAAGGAGAAACGCACTCCCTTGTCAAAGGAGATATATGAGAAGTCTGAATTAAATTAAAGGATTAGTGGAGCCCAGCTAAAACAAGTCCAATATATTAATTATAAGCTTATTGGGGATCATGTTTAAGAACCAAAAGATTGAATTAAATCATATTTGACAACTCAAAAATTTAACTCTAATAGTGAATTTTTTTAATATGCCTTTCTAGTAAAATGATGGATTTTACTTATAAATTAACCGGTTATGAAATTGTGAATTAGGGAATAAGAGTATCAAACCACTGGAAGTCATAATATAATATTTTTGATAAATTAAATTTTTTTCCTTTTCCTTTATAAATAAACAAATTTCACTTGTAAATTAATTATTATGAAACTAAAAATCAAGAGTATCAAACTATTAGGAGTCGTGAAAACTATTCCTTTTTCTTTTATAAAAAGAAATCTCACTTGCAAATTAGTAATTGTATATATGCAAAATCATAAATCAAGGAACATGGATATCAAACCATGAGAAGTTGTGGTATCTTTAACAAGTTAATTTTTTTTTCTTTTTTTCTTTTTAATAAATGAATGAATCTCGCTTGCAAATTAGTGGTTATCAAATCAAAGAAAATTGTGGAGCAGATTGATGAGGCTTGGAGGAGGGAAGAAGTTTATTGGTGGTAGAAAGCTAGAGTTAATTGGGTCAATTTTGATGATGGTGATACTAAATTTTTTCATACTACTGTCTTATAGAGAAGGGCTTGAAATAAGGTGTTAAGGTTGAGGGATGATAATGGTTAGAGGAGCTTATTGAAATTGATAGTATTTTTTTAGCATATTACAAAAACATATTCTCTTCAGTTGGGGTAAGACCACTGGATAAGGCACTATAATATGTGAGGAAAGTAATTGCTGATGCTGATAATCAATCTTTAATGATGGCTATGACTAAAGCAGAAATTGAATAGGCAATTTTTCAGCTTAAAGCAACTATAATGGTTCTAGTACTGATGGCCTTACAAGTTTGTTCTATCAATCTTCTTAGACTACTGTGAAACTTGAGACTTTGAAGTTGGTTTTTCAATTTTTTAATGATGGAATTGAGTTGAATGATATTAATATGATGAATATTGTTCTTATTTCCAAAGTAGATAAGCCTGAAATTGGGAATCAATTTAGGCCTATTGGTCTTTGTAACGTTGTTTACAAAATTTTTGGCGGGGTAATAGAGAGGATGTGGAGGGAAGATACATTGGTTTGGGCTTTCAGGATTCTAAGGTTTTTAATACTACTATACTTGCCAAAACAACTCAATGCTTGATTCAAATCTAGTTGAATTTTGGTGTAGGATTTTAAAAGGGTTGTATTTTCTTAAAAAAACATTATTTGAGGCCAAAAAAAGGAAGAAGACCATCTTGGTGTTGGAGTTAGATTATGTTTGGCATATTAATAATGGTGAGTGTGTAAACTCGCAGTTAGATTCATGGATTCCTGGATTAAAAGGATTGAGATTGAAAGGCGAAGGTGTTAGGGAAGATATGAAGGTGGAGAAGGTCGCTAAATTGATATCCTGCAAGGAGTGGGACTTAAGTTCAATTGGTCACTTAATTTATGTTGAAGGGGAAAAAAATGAAATTCTTCCTTTTGGAATGGTGAATATACTGTGAAGTTAGGATATCATTTAGCAAGTGTTGATATGAGGAAAAGGAGAATGATGGACCTAGTTCTTCCTTTAAGCCTGCTAAAAAATTATGGAATAAAGTTTGGGGGTTGAGAGTTCCTCCTAAGATTTGCCATTTTATTTGGAGGGCATTGAATGGTGCTATTGCTACAAAAGTTGCCCTATTCAAAAGGAGGTATGTTGTCAATTCCTTATGCCTGATCTGCTTGATGGAGGAAGAGACAACTGAACATTTGCTTTTCCATCATTCTTGGGTAAGATCTTGTTGGTTTGGTTGTTGTAGTTTGGGAATATTGATATCTAATATTAATATTTCTATAGTCTCTAGTTGGTTGATTGATATTTTTGGTAATAATAATGTGATTGGGGCTTTTGAAAGAGCACTTGTTGCTTCAATTTGTTGAAAAATTTGGAAAAGTAGATGTAGTTGGGTATTTGATGGGAAAACGGTGAATGTTAAGAAGGTTATTATAAATCTCTGAATGAATATAAAATTTTAAAAATCCAAAGTAAATTGAAGAAATGGGATATATTAGAGGAGACTTTTACTAAGGGGTGTTAAGATTAATGTTAATGGCTCTTTTGATGATGTCTTGAAGTCTTCTGGTATTGGCTTTGTTTGTGATGAATTTGGGAATTCTTTGGGTGGTTGTAGGAAGAATATTGTTGTTGTTTCTACTCTCATGGCTAATGCTTAGCTATTATGGAAGGTTTGATAGTGGCTCAGCATTATTCTGATCAGATGGTCTCTATGGAAATGGACTGTGGGATTCTCTCTTGAATAATTGGTAAACTTAATTTTGATTATGATTGAAATGTTTTGAAATTGTGCAAGATATTATTATAGCTAAAGAATTGTGCAACGATGTTTGTCTCCCCTTAGTAACTCACTAAGGTAATGAAGTAACTAACTTTTTAGCAGTGATGGGCTCTAAAAAGATGTGTCCAATGGGACGGTTTTTTATAGCTACATTTTCTTTATTTGGGTTGGTACTTGTTGATTTGGAAGCTTCAAATTGCCCTAATTTTTCTTTTGCTTCTACTAGTTCCTCTCATAATAAAGAGGGTATTAGTTAATATGTTGTTTTGGTTTTTATACTTAGACTATATTGTTACTGTTTTATGTTGTTATTTTGCTTTTATTTTATTTTGTGAGTTGTGTGTTATGTTGTATCTTAGTTTTTTTTTCGCTTTGACTATTAATTATTGTAATTTTTTTTGGTAATTAATAAAACTGGCTCTTTTTTTGAAAAAAAAGAAAATGAAATTGCAATGTAAGGAATAAAAATATCAAACCATCGAAAGGACCTTTGATCCTTATTTTGGTTTTCTCAAATCTTTAATTTGGTCCTAATATTAATACACGCTCAAATAGGGCCATTCTTCTGGTAATGAAGTTTAACCCATTACAACTTAAAAGCAAGATAAATGGAGATAATTTGACTCTGTTTTTTTTTTTTTTTGGACGAAGAGATGACTCTAGTTGAACATCAATTGAAAAAGCCTTCAAGTTACACAGTACATCTTGCAAACTTTAAAGCAAACCACTTTAGTTTTCTTCAAGCCATTAATAGCCTTCACACGTCATCTCCGCCTAGTAGCTGGGCCTCCCAATGAATCTTGAGTTTGGGTCTTTATTTCACTTACCTAGGAATGGACCCATGTCATGTTGTGTATGACTCGGCTAATAACTTGATGGTCTTGCATGTCGCCCAGGACTTGGATACCATGCCAGACACCAACTTATACCCTACATATAACTTGAGAGAAATTCTTGTATGAACTCTATGCACTATATTATCCATATTTTATTTAATAAAAATATAACATGTTGTGCCAAGTTTAATCAAATAAAAATTTATATTTTATTATTTTTAATGACATTTTTTTTAATAGGGTGTCTTTTTTCCCCTCTCTATCACTACCAATGGTGGAATTAATTTTTATTTATAACCATCAGATATTACATGTTTTTATTGGATATGATATGGATAACATAATGCATCGAGTTCATGTAAGAATTTCTCATAACTTGAATGCCATTTTAGATACAAACCAGGATGCCATCTAGGACCATGCAAGTAGTCCATGATTATTATAAGGGAACATTCAAGGATATCCACACAGATATTATGTTTACACAGATATTATAATTGGTCATGCTTTTTCTATATCTCAAGCAGTACCATTTTCTACTTTTCCTCTAAACCACCATACATGCTGATGATGACAAGTTTTGGGGGCTTCTGGAAAAGGATCTCTCTTATTATAGGCGATTTACAATATTACATATTCACACACAAAAAATCTTTTCGGCGTTACTTCATATTGCTTCTTTCTCCTCCTAATATATGGTTACCACCTTTCATTATTTTGGCTTAATCATGCACTACTTCACTAGCATTTTCTGTCGGATGATCACGATCCCTAAAAACTTCAACATCATTATAAGGGCAGATTTTGTCTTCTGCAGGAGATCTGGTGACTTTGAGTTCATCATGAAGGCTTTCTGATGAAACAATAAGTTGATGATTCATCTTCTTCATCTCTTTGTCTTTTCCCCATAGAACCACATATAGTCCACATATTACCATCACCCCTCCTATTATGCTGCAAAATTGCAATACCAACTTATTATAAATTATAAAGTACTTAGTCAAACATATAACTCAAATATATTAAAAGCATACCTTCCAAGATGTAGCTTCTCGTCTAACATGAAAGAGCCAGGGAAGGCCATCAAAACAAGCAAAAGAGGGCCAAAGGTAGAGACATAGAGAGGGCCTCTCATATGCACACACCATGTAGTTACCGCCACCATTATTCCAGAAACCACGACTCCCTATATTCATGATTAACATTCACATAATTAATTAAAAAAATTGGATTACCAAAAACTTCTCATATCAATTATAAATATAAAATCTATTGAAAACCCACTAATTTTTGGCAAAATGACAATAAGTTCCAAATTAAAAGAACTAATTGATCACAATTAGGTCCTTGACAATTTTTTTAAATGAATTACAAATATGGATTTAGACAATTATAAATTGAAGAGTAACTGAAATTTCTATTTGTAATTGTATGAATTGATATATGCAATTTTTTTTAAAAAAATTAAAAACCTAGTTATCATTAAAAATACTTTTTTGGGGACCTAACTACCATTCTCCCTTAATTATTCATGTGTCATAAACAATGTGGTTTCTTCATCAAACTTCATATATTATACACTAAAAATCCACAAGGGTTACCGCATAAGCTGCTGTGAGGAGCCTGATATTCCAACCCAACTTCCATTGAGTCCAATCCCTCTCAAGGCAAAGAGCAGAGGCAATAGATAAGAGTGACCCCATCAAACTCATCAAAGCTGTGCTTGAGTAATGACATGGGTAACTCTCACTCATCTTTGTCTATATATGTTGTGATAATTGAAGAACATATCATTAAATTCGTAAAAAGCAACAGAGACATGTAAAAGAAGTAAAACAATCATCCGTGGTGATATATTATTAATTTTCAAATAATTAATTAAAGACCTGAATGATGATCCACAAAGCATAAGTAAAGCAGCTTCCCAGGCCACAAAGAGCACCTAAGAGGGATTTGCCACTAGAAGAGTGTGATGATGACACGTGTCGTTTATGGTGATGCAAGAGGGTGATATGAAAGAAGCCAGTGTTTATTTCTTTCCCTTTGAACAATGTCAGAATCATAGCCCCACTTATTCCTATTATTGTCCCAATGATCTTGGCCTTTCCTGCTGCTGTTCTCAAATTCAGTCTTTCCAATCTGTGTTCACAGATTTAGTGTGTTTAGATTGAAATTTGTAAAGCTAAACTTTTCTTAAATTTAAGTTTGCAAGCTGAAGTTAGAGTAAAAGCAACAAAAAATGGTTTCCACATCAGCCTTCATTTTGAACCCAGTAGTCATTTAAGCCTAATATTTATTTAAACATAAAATTTTACCTCCAACCTTACTTTTGGATTCCAAACATCAATTTGGACCAGCAAAACATTTGTTTGATGGTTAACCACACCTAGCCTTAAGCAGATCAATAAAAATGGTTACGTTTCCCTTGATTAAAAAATATTAAAATTTTCTTTGATAGTGATTTTTTCCCATGCACGATAACAATTTTTTTTTTTCAAATCAAAGAATATGAATTCTCTTCTATTGGGAAATATTAATGTTACTTTGTAACCATTTTAGAGCTAACTGAATTTTATTTAGTCATATGTAATTTTGAATTAGATTAATTCATTATGATCTGAATTCTGGTTCCTTTTTTATGTTTCTATACTTTTAAAATAGAGAATGAAAATAAATTTTAAATTGAAAATTTTGTATAGAAATAATGATATAAATAAATAAATAAATAAACCATCAAATTTAAATAGTCTCAATTAAGTAACAATATTTTGTGCAACTATTTAGAGAACATTAATTCTCTAAATAACAGTGCCATTGCCATTCTACAACAAATTTTCGGATAGCTTCGGACTTTTAATATTTAAATTCATAATATCTTAAAGTCTAAATATTTCAATGTTTTTGTTTTAAAATGAAGAAATATAAATTAAAAATAATTTAAATAAGAAATGTAAAAAAATGTCTTTTCAATTTCAATACAAAAAAATGTAAATTTATTTAAGATAACAATAAATTCTATTCAAATATATTTAAATCATCAGCATATTATATATATATATATATATATATATCTATAGGGTCAAAATCAGCATATACTATATAAATTTGCTTTTTAGTATTTTTAGTACTCAGAAAATTTTGTTAGTGATGGCAAAACTAATGGCAAGTAAATATTAATGTTTTTGGAGTATCATTCTAAATATTTATTAAATTTAAAAAATGAATTTATTAAAATTAAATACATAAAAACAATAAAACAACTATAAAATTATAATAACATAAAAAATAAAATTATCTTAATATAAGAAAACTTTATATTGAAAATGATAGGATATGTAGTAGCTACTAATATCATATGCTAATATTTTTTTGTTGAAAAGGATCATACTCTTTTAAAATAAATATTTTTAATATAACCAATTTAAAAATAGTTTCCATTTTATGTGAAAGTATTAAAAATAGTTTTCCATATAGTTACTTTTTAATCATTAAAAAAAGTTTCTTTGAGGAATTCATTAAGGCCTCATAAAAGAGAATCTTTGTGGAGGTAAAATTTGGAAGTTTGTTATAAATTTCAAGACAAACTACCATAATTGAATGTACCCAAATTAAAGTTGTGGAAGAAAATAGAAAAGAGTGGGAAAAAGTATTCAAACAAAGAATTGGAAAGAATAAAAAAACAAAAAATAGAAAGGAAAAAGTAAAAAAGGATTGTCACCTGAAAGAGACGGCCATGATAAAGGTTATGGCAGGAACAAGATTGCTCACGGCCGACGCAAATGTTGCCGACTCTAAAGCCAGTGCTTCCAAGTGCAAGTTTTGTGACAATACTCCTCTTCATGATAATTTATTATATATTAAACAATTATAATATTGGTTAATTAAATATATCTATTAATTTGTCACTTCAAATAGTATCTGTGTACTATGTATATGTATCAAACAAAGACATATCATGAAATTGATAAGAAAAAATATAATTTAAATCCCTACATTTTACTTGCATTTTCCTATAGATTTCTGTATTTTTTTTCGATATTCCTTAGAGGGATCTAGAATATTAAAAAATAAAAGTGCATGAACCTATAATAAAATGTGAGTAAGGTATAGGAACCCAAAGTTATATTTTCCTAATAAATAATATTAGCTTATGGTAGGGTGTAGACAACTATGCATGTAAACGGTTACAATTTGAAAATTATTCAATAAACCATACTCATTTTTTTAATATTATACAACACTTTTTTGGAAAGATTATATTAAAAATATAAAATATTTTAAGTCTTACAATATATAATTAATATTTTTTTAATTAAAAAAATATTAAATAAGGATAAATATTAAAAAAATATAATTTTTAATGTTATTAAATAATTTATTAACATATATAAATTAATTAAAAATTTTTTATAATGTATGTAACATAGAGAATATAAATTTTTTAACATAGTAACATTTTCTTTTGATACATACCCAAATAACCCACATAGAAATGCGTGAAAGAGTATGGTCCAAGTCATCTTTGGTCTCTTGTTCCTGCAAATAAATCATCATTTGATGAAAGACAGGCTCTTAATTTCTTTAATTTCTTGCACACAAATAATAAACATCTTTTCTTTTCTTTTTTTTTTTTCCTTCGTTTTGCTTCCTGAATTCACACTTAGTCCCATCCAAAGAACGGAAAAAAGACTTTCAACTTGGCAACAACACACATTGACATTACAACAACAAATTCCCTCCGTTCTTCAATTAAATGCAAGCCTGGTTTGATTTTTTCCATGGTAGCTTGCCAAGGCAATGGTGCTGCTGATGCATTAGTAGCTGCTGGTGGCAGAGGGATGGAGCCTAATGGGTGGCTGGAAACGGCACCTCCCTTATCTGATGTTTTGAAGGCTGATTTGACTAAAGCAAGTTTTATTGATTTGATGAATTTCCCTGTTAGTATTAATAGAGTAGGGGTTGCTTAAACTGTTGTTTCCTCTTTGTTTTGTTTTTTGTTTTTGGGTGATTTTTGCGTGTTAGGTTGTATCTAAATGTTTTGAGTGTTTTCTTTTGTTTTTTTTTTATTTCAGCTATTAGTGTGTCTTACTTTGTTTGGTGATTAATAAAATGAACTATCTTTTTTGGCAAAAAAAAAAAAACTCCCTCCATTCTTATACATAAAATATTTTCTGAAAGCTTATTATGTCCAAATATATAAGAGATGTCATAATATTTATAAATAATTAGACAATTTTTTCCTTATCTTGAAAAAAGGAAATAGGTATTAATTAATTGTGCGCTTTTACTCACCACCATCATGATATTAATTAACATTATTGCAAGCAAAATTAAAAAATTATTGTAATTTAATATAGTTTCAACTAAATAACAAACTTTTATTGTATGTAGAATTATATGGAATATAGTAGGACTATAGGAGGAATATTGATAATATATACTCTCTCTCATTAAAGTGTATTTAATGAGTTTTATTCATATGCATGATTTTATCTAAAATTATCTTATAATTTAGGATAGAGAGAGTATAAGTTACTTTAAAAAGTATATCATTAATTATTTTATTCCAATTTCACCCTTTCATAATTTTCGGTAAGTAAAGAGTAAGAAGTTAATCGGTAAAAAGAAAGTGTTTTTAAAGATGATCCATTTAATAAAAATAAATTATAATTTTTTATTTTTATAAAACATTAATAATTTAATCATATCAACTTGATTTAAGTAAAATACTCAAAAATGAATAATAAACATAACCTGTGTATAAGTGAAACACAACAATAATTCAAGATGGATTTGGATTCGGTGACCATACTTAATACAAGTATTGAGTACCTATATTATCTAAACTGTTAAAATTTATATCAATGGTTATGAATTTATACTTCACTTAAAATTAATGAATGAGTGAATTTATTTGAACTATTGATCTAGATTTTAACTGCTCAAATGGAATAGGCACTTAGTATCTGTACTAAGTACAGTTATTGAATCAAAATCCATTCAAGACAAGCACTCTGACATAATTATTGCAACATATATAAATGAATATATGGTGGAAATGTTTGTGTTTTTATACATATACATACATATACATAAATATATATATATATATATATATACATATATATATATATATATATATACATACATGCATATACATAAATATATATATATATATGTATATATATATATATATATATATATATATATGGTAATAATGGAATTACCTTTCGAGAATGAAGGCAAGAGGAGCAATGAAAAGGGTAGCGAAGATAAAGCGGTAAGCAATAATGACTCTCAAGTTCATGCCATCATTGACGGCGAGCTTGTACAGCACAAGAAGGCCGGCAAAAGCTATCTGAGACGCCACCATTAACACCGCCGGCTTCAACCGATGGACCATGTCGTCCTGTACATCTACCATTGTCGTCGTTGCAATCACCACCACCACCACCACAAGCGAGGACGATGACCCACAACGATATAAGAATTGGTTAAGAGTTGAGAATAGAGATATTGAGAGAGAGGGAGAGGAAGGAACATGGTATAGTTGTGTAGGGTCTAATGGTCCCTGAGCTTAAAAGTTTAAAGTGAAGAGCATATTTACAATTGCAATGGGAAGGAAAGAAATGGTCTTTGTTTATATAGTGATGAGAATTTTGCCTGTGTGCTTGTTGCTATAATGATATTTTAATCGTCCAAATTTAAAATGGGAATTTGGCATATCCAGATTTAATTTTTTTTCCTTTCTATTTATATTTATTAAAATATAAATTTATAAAAATTTTAATGCAGATGTTTGTCAGCAATTTAAATAGTACATATTTAATTTGAAAATTTTAATTTAATATTAAATTTTTTTCTAATTTTTATAAATTAACATCCAGATATACTTTGGATAGTTCAAATTTAATGTTAAATTTTAAAAATATTTTATTTTGATAAATAAAATATTAAAAATAAAGATAATATCCTAACTGACACTTTTTTCAAAAAGACATAAGTTAAAAATTTTAAATTTGGATAAATTTATAAAAGTTTTTGATAGGGAGAACTGCAATAAGGGCCCTCAAAACACAAAAAATTACACTATGAGCCCAATAGATTCTGATAATGTAATTGTAGGCTTGAAGGCCTTTGTTGCAATTTTTGTTGCGAGCAAAAGTATAATTTTTTTCCTCTCAAAACTAACCGAGCATGATCTGATCTTCCACTTCATCTCTCTTCCTTACTATCTTCCTCTTCCTCCTCACACCATTGCATTTCAGTTCCCTAATTCTTCCATTTTCTCCTTCGTATTCTCAATCTATCCATCCCTCTTGCAATGAGCTAACATACAAGAGCTAGCTTTTGTGCATCTCTTGAGCATCGACAAGCTCCTTAGTGTCAAACCTCTAGAACTCAAAGTTTGTTGTAAGTTTTATTCTAGATCTATTCATCTTTCCTTTAGATACATGTTTCTGAAGCTTTTAGGATTTATGGGAATTTCTATAATTGCCACAAAAATTAGGACTTGATATCATTGAGTAGTGAATATCTAAATTTAGAAATTCTAGATCTAGAATTTAAATTGTAAATTGTTGAACCTATGCTTGTAAATATTTGGATATTAAATTGTAAATTTGTGAACTTTGACAGCACGTCAACTTTGAATCTTTGTTTGTCAAAATATGAACTTTCACTTGTACATATTTGAACTTGTATTTGTGAATATTAAGACTTTTACTTCTACATTTTTGAATTTTTCTTATTAATGATAGAAGAACCTTGTGTAGATGTTCAGGTGTGCCATATAGAAGGATCTTATGTTGTTAATAGATGGAACTTATCATGTTATTTGTAAATGTTCAACTCAACTACATGGACCATATAAAACATATAAACATTGATATTGTTCAAATAGACCTTGTCATGTTATATACAAACTTTGTGTTCATAAACCTTGGAAACTTTTATAAATGTCCAACTTAATCACTTGGACTATGTGAAATAAATGGACATTGTTTTGTTAATAAATGAATATTTTCATGTTATATACGGACTTTCTGTTGTTTGTAAACTTAAGAAACTTTTACAAAAGATGTAAAACTAGAACTTGTCATTACTGAGTTGTGAATATCTAAAGTCAAAAATTCTAGACTTTGAATTTACAATAGCTAAACCTATGCTTGTAAATATTTAGATGTGTAGATGTAAATTTATAAACTGTGACAACACGTCAACTCTGAACCTTTGCTTGCCAAAATATGGACTTTTACTTATAAATATTTCAACATGTACTTGTGAATATTAGAACTTTTACTTGTACATTTCTAAACTTTGCTAATTTGTGCAGGAATATAAAATGGTTAGATGTGACAATTTGTAATAGCTAATGGAGCATTCCAATAATGTCAAAGCTTAAAGTGCCGTTGCACTCACAGCAAGTTAGTAAGAAAATGAAAATAATAGGATGAAGTATCAAATTATTCCTCTAAGATTTTGTATATGCTATTTTAAGTTAGTTTTTGGTTAATGTATGTATGGCATATATTATGGTGTATGTTTGGAGAACACTTGTTGTAACGTAAATGAAATTATTTGCAATGATCATTTGTACATGTTGTCCAAATTTATGAACAATAGAAAGTCCATAAATAACATGAACATGTTCATTTATTAATAATACAATATCCATCTATTTTATATGATTTGTGATTAAGTTAAACATTTATAAAAGTTTCTCATTATGAATAACAAAAATTTCATATATAACATGATAATGTCCATTTATTACAAAATAATGTCCATCTATTTTACATGATTTGTGTGGTTAAATTGAACATTTGTAAAAAAATTTCAAGTTTATAAACAATAAAAAGTCTGTATATAATATGACAACATTCATTTATTAACAATACAATGTCTATATGTTTCATATGGTCCATGTGGTTAAGTTGAATATTTACAAATAACATGATAAGTTCCATCTATTGACATTATACAAGGTCCTTCTATTATTAATAAACAAAGTACAGAAATGTACAAGTAAAAGTTTTCATATTCACAAATATAGGTTTAAATATGTATAAATAAAAGTCCATATCTTGACATGCAAAGATTCAAAGTTGCTGTGCTGCCAAAATTCATAAATTTACAACTTAATATCCAAATATTTACAAGCATAGGTTTAACAATTCACAATTCAAAGTCTAGATCTATAATTTTCAAATTCAAATATTCACAACTCAATGATGGAAAATTTTAGTTTTTGCAACTACTATAACAATTCGCATAAATCTCCAAAAATCCCAAAAACATGTATCTGAATAACATGACTATTAGAAGACCAGAAGCTGAAGTTCTAGCAAATACTACTATATAATGGGATATAGAAGCCATCTTCCCTATAATCTAATTCATTGAGAGTTGTAATTAACTAATTCACAATAAAATATTCATAAATAACATCAAAATGTTCATATATTAACAATACAGGATCTGTCTATATGATACGCATTAATATTTGCATAAGTTAATTGCAAAATTTGCACAACACAAACTCCTTAAATAACAATATAAAGTTTATAAATAACATCTACATCAAAACATGTATATCTACTACAAAAAAATCTATATCAAAAACAATAAAAAAATCCATAAATAACAATTTTTCATTAAATGAATATGAACATGTACATTAGGACTACATAATTTCATGCCAGTATCGGCCCTTCTACTAAAACAAATATCAACATGAAATCTTGCATCAAATTTCATGTCTAATATATACAAAAATACAACAATTATAACCAAAACATCTAATGCTTGCTTGTCTATATACATACACAAAAAAATTGCCATCCCCAACAAATTTCAAGTACAAATACAATATCAAGTCAAAGTATATGTATTCACAAGTAGATGCTTGGATATTCAGAAGTTAATTGCTGGTAGTGAAATTCACTAGCAGTTAAAATAAAAGTGATATGGCTCATGCTCTCTCAATGTCTTATTTTGACAAAAAAAAAAAGCTACTCAGAAGCGGTGATTGCTTTGTAATATGCAATAATTGCTTTAGTTCATATGCCAAAATGAATACACCACTTGATTCATTCTTTTCACATTATGGTGGATCGTTCTGAGAAGCTAGTTGGCATGAGAGGGTTGTAGTTGGCTGGACATCTGACCGTTCCATCTATAGCCATTTGGATAAAAGTAGATGGCCCACTCATACCCTTCAACTAAAAATGCTTCAAATGCAAGCTTGAGGATGAAGAGAAAGAAGGAAGAGGGAGGAAGAAGAAGAGAGGGAGCACAAAAGCATGATGGAGAGAAAGAAGAATTTGGTTAGTGCATCAATGCTGGAAGAGGAAGAGAGAGAATGAAGGAGGGAAGAAGAAGAAGAAGAAAGTGATTGTTCAATAGCTAATTATAGGAGGGATAAATTGAGCATTTCACCAAAAAAAAAAACATAATTAGAAATGAGATATTTAGACCTTTAGAATAATTTGGATTCCATTAAGCCTTACCTACAATTTTTTATGTTTTGAAGACCCTTAGTGCGATTCTTCCTTTTTGATGTTAAATTTAAACCATCCACATTAAATCCATACGATCCAAGTTAGTGGTAAGCATATCTATAATTTTTTATATTTTTTATAATTTTTATTTTAATACATACAAGATAAATATAAATTAAAAATATAAAATTTAAACCGTCTAAAGAGTGGTGATGCTTATCCCCAAGTGAGCGCTGAAGATTGGTCCCTCCTTCCTATGAGATGGTCCCATTAGAGCATAAACACCATGCACTACTTCTGCATACTTTTTCCACGTTACTGAAGTTTATTTTGTAATCATTTCATGTTGTAATTCGTGATTTTTTTTTTTCATATTCTTTGATTTGTTATCTTCTCCATAATAAACACAACCTCTCTATTTTTGGATCATTATTTTCCATCCACTTCCAAAAGGAGTTATAGATGCATTCTCACTCTTTAAGATATTTGGCCAAAATCATTTCCCATCCATTTCCTTGTGAAGTACGCTATATTTCCATCTTGTTTTGATGAATCTATTGCTTGAATCTCGTTCAGCTTTCCATACTGATTGTTTTGCCTTTAGAAGCACCGCGAACGGAGGTTGGAATCATGTCGAGCGCAAAAACATTGATTTTTCGTTTTAGATTTCCGGTCCCTTTTGGAAAGTTCTGAACTTAGGTTTTATTCGGTTTGAACACCCGATTTTATTGTCGTTGAAATTGCAGTCATCGGAGGCTGGGATCGTCGGAAAAAGCCGGCTTAAGTTACGGGCCTCGGCGGGTCCATTGCTGTGCGAATCCGGATCAAAGAACCCGTCTGGTTGAGTAAGACGAGCTAGACGACGGGACGTTTCCGTATGCCGGAACGCGTCTTCCTCAGCTACCCGGAAGAACGCCGTTTTGCCCATGCGTGAACGCACCGTTTCAATAATTGTTTTTTGGGCTACAGTCGTGTTTGGGTTTGGTGGTCTTTTTCTTTTTCATTTTCCCCTGGACTATTTTTATTTTGGGCTTAAATTTTTCCAATTCTGTTTTCCTTCGCTTAGGGCTTACGTTTTAGGCTTTTTTATGATTTCGAAAAAAACATTTGTTATTATTCCCGAAATTAATTTGGGTCATGGTTTTCCACGTGTGTATTCAACATTTCAATTGCCCCAAATCTATTTTGAAGTTTAAATGTTTTGGGTCATTTTGGTTTCCTTCCTGAAAGTTATTTGAGCTAAATAAATCACGTTTAAATTTGATTTTTCTCACATATATTTGTTCAGCATTCTGTTTGTATATGTGAGAATTTATTTTATGTTCTATTCAATTGTTTAATGTTATGGGGATTTAATTTTGTCTATAAAATTTTGAAAAATTATTTTATGAATATCTAATTGTCTGAAAATTTGGGAAATCAGTTTTAGGCAATTATATGATTGATTGAGTTTTCAAAGTTATGTTTGAATTTACTGAAATTAATTATTTGGTACGTTACATAATAGTGGGAGAATTTTTTCCAGTTATTTAATCGCATAGCAATATTGTTGATTAGATTGATTGATTAAATTCTCATTATGAAACTTATGTGGATATATTTGATGTTTGTGCACCTTTCTTTGATTAAGGAGCAGCCACAGCATCCTTATAGGTTTATTGTAAGAAGAATTACATACAAGTCCCACTCAATATAATTAATTACCTCAAGATCCACTAACAATTAAGTTTATAAGAATATCAATGTGTTGTCACTTTTTTAAGCTCAGTTGTCAATAGATTTCAGGATAATTAATTGTATTAAGTGAGACCTTAAAGTAATGAGCTCAATTTGTCAATAGATCTCGGGGTAATTAATTGTATTAAGTGGGACCTTAAAATAATTTTTCCTTTGTTATATATATAATTACTCACTTCTGGACTTTGAAATATCAATTGTAATTAAGTATGTGATTATAGTTTATGTTTGCCCAAAAGGAGATAATTATTGTTGCATAATTAATTAGGATGGAATAGAATTGGCCTTATATTTTCCTAATTAGCCCATGGGTACTAGGGATTGTAAATGCATCCTAGTTTCATTATACTGGACATAAATTTGTGCCATGCTGAAATCTTTGCCCATAAGTAGGTTTCAGTGACGTGAAATTTATGCTTTACATTAGTAAACATATACTTAAATGTGATGGTTGATTGCCTCATATACTTGTATAAGCATGATTATTATTAAATTTCTGATTTTAATTTGCAGTATTATCATTGTCTTTTAAATTGTTAAAATTCCCAGGATTACATTGGTTAGAGACAATTGCTGAGCCTAGAAGGAGTTACACACAAACAGTTTTTCATATAAATTTTTTTCAATAAAGATGATGTTGACATAAATAGAATTCTGTTATCCATTAATATCAATATGTGAGGTCAAGAAGTATTGTAAGATCAAATTTCACGGTTTTAATAGAAAAACCTCAATGACTAGTGTTGGCTCTTCCTCAGTTGCCATTATTATGCCTGCATACTAGTCAAAAGATTCCCTCTCATATTTATTTTTATTTTCTCTATTGACTATTTATCTTATGTTTTTTAGTTATGGTAAGACTAAAACTAAGAGCTCCGCAACAAATCATTTAGTAATGGTGAGAGGTAACCTTAAGTCTTCCTCTGTATTTCTTTGGTTTATGAGAATTCTATATAAATATTTTTAATAGAGTTTGCCCAACAGGCTAACCTCTAGAACATTCTTAAGAATACTTCAGGCTATAAACTCCCATGTAATGCATCTTTATTATTTTGGAAGAATGAATAGATTATTGAGAATTCTAAATTTTCAAAACGAGGAGTTTATCGCGTGGGCTGAGTTTTCTTTACAGACTAACCCCATCATGACTTACATTTTGCAACAATATCATCCAAATTGATTTTAACCACTTCTAACAAAATCAAAATGTTTCTTGAAATGTTCTCAAGAGGCTTAACACTACTACTTATAGGCTTCTAACTTAAATTACCATTTTCCTCTCAAAGCCAATTTATTATTACATTCTGGATGTTTGCATAATTCTATTCCATAATTAAGATTGCAAATAGGCATAAACAAACATGCTTTTCGCATATTTCAAACGCCATCTCTCAACTTTTCCTCTAAACCCCCAAAAATGCTGATGACAAGTGTGGAGACTTCTTGAAAAGGATCACATTCACACATAGGCTATGAACAGCAACACATCATATATAGATACTTCACGTGCGATGCATGTTTTGTTGCATGACTGAATGATCACAAATCCTAATTATGATTTTTGTTTTGAGGGCTGCTTTTCTCGTCTGTTGGTGATGATCTGACTATGATTACTTCTGGAAGGCTACTCTGTGATGGTACTAAAGGATTCATCTTCATCTCTTTGCCTTTTCCCCATAGAACCATGTACAATCCACACACTATCAACATCCCTCCTATTATACTGCAAATTTGCATTGCCAAGTCATAAAACAATATAAAGTCAGTCGAACACCCACACAAAACAGCATCAATGCACGTGTGAGGAGTAAGCATACGCACGCACACATACCCCCCTACCTTCCCAGATATAGCTTCTCGTCCAACATGAAAGAACCAGCAATGGCCACAAAGACAAGCAAAAGAGGGTTGAAAGCAGATACATAAAGAGGTCCTTTCATGTCCACACACCATGCCATTACCACCACCATTATTCCAGACACCACTATTCCCTATATTCATGATTAAATAATTCACATACTTCACAAAAGTGCAATGTAACCACTCATCAATGTTTTTTTGGTTGGAAAAATCACTCTCAAATTCCATACAAGAAATCTAAATATACTAAAGTCTTAAGAATGCACAAAATTACTCTAAAATTTCATGTCGTTTTGTGAAGTTGATAACAACTGTTGGATAATTTTTAATAGAGTTGTTCAAGTAAAAACTAAGTGGCAATATTTGACAACTTCAATAAAAGACACGATAAATGAGACTTCAAACTAATTTTATAATTTTATGATAATTTTCTATATTTAGATTATTTATGTAGGACCTGAGATTGAATTTTTCAAAATTTTTTGTTTATAAAAAATATTAAATTTATAACATACCGCATAGGCCACAGTAAGAAGCCTAACATCCCAACCCAACTTCCATTGAGTCAAATCACTCTCAAGACAAATAGCAAGTGCAGTTGATAAGAGTGCTGCCATTGAACTCATTAAAGCTGTGCTTGAGTAATAACATGGATAACTCTTGCTCATCTTAGCCTATATTCCAACAACCAAAACAATCTCAAATTTGCAGTCAAAACATGGGAACAAAATGAGTGTCAGTTAACATCCACGTACTAAAAGCCGAATTGATAAAGACACTGGTTTAGGGTTAATTATCAAAATCATAGTTAAACTTTGATCAAACCAGTCAAGATATTAATTTAATGGTTTGCCAGTTCACCACGGACGGGTCTATAGTTAACATAATACGGTAATATTCATCTTTAGAAGAAGACCTGGATAATAAGCCACAAAGCATAAGTGGCACTGCTTCCTAGAGAACAAAGGGCACCCAAGAGAGCCTTCATACTAGAGGGAGCTAGTAGTGATGCCACTTGTCCCTTTCGATGATGCAAGAGGGTGATGTGGAAGGAACCTGTGTCTATTTTCGTGCTTTTGAAGAATGTGAGAACCATGGCCCCTCCTATTGCCACTATTGTTCCAATGATCTTCACTTGTCCTGCTACTGTTCTTAAATTCAATCTTTCCAAGCTGTTCACAAGTTCAAACGCATGCATATACTTCAAAGACACCAAAACATAAAATTAAAAATATGAATTTAATTAAACCATTCACTTATAATGAGACTATTGAAATTAAGAATTGTAATGGAAAGTAATAAAAAATCAATCACAGAAATTAAAAGTGGATTGAAACTCCCCGGACGGAGACGGCCATGAGAAAGGTGACGGCTGGAGTGAGATTGGACATGGCCGAAGCAAACGTGGCGGATGTTAAAGCCAATGACTCCAAGTAAAAGTTTTGTGACATTACTCCTCTGCGTCATAATATCACAATATCGGTCAATTTAAGCTATTTTTTCCTCACTAATAATACCTATAAATCTCCCCTCTATTTTAAAAATAAATCTCTCTATTATAAGTCACTCGTAAGTTGTAGCTAATTCACAAGAATCCAGAAAAATTAATTACATCATTAAAATTATTTAAGAATTGCTTTGATTTTTATTTTTATCCTTAGTAAATACCATAAACTTAAAAAAAGATATCTACTCGTTAAAAATTGAGAAGGATATATTTGAAATAAAGTAATTGATACTATACAAACTCTAGCAAAGTGATCACTTATATTTGTTCTTCATTTTTAGAAGATGATGTCTCTGTTAAAAATAATAAAATTAGTTCTCATAACAAATAATGGACAGGGTTGAAGTTGAAAAGACAAGAACCTTTTATTTTTTTTAATAGATTATTTTATCTGGACGCTAAATTTTGAAAATAGAGGATATATCAGTGGAAATTGAAGAAAAATCTAGATATAATTTATTTTCAAACATTATCCATAAGACAAAATTGAATTTCATCCCTATCATATTAATCTGTCATTGTGCACAATTATTGACAATTATTTGACAAGCATACATATAATCTGGATGCTGTTTTGATAAAAAAGATATACGAATTGAAGTATTGATTGTGACCTAACACCATACTATAGTCTGTAGTACATGGAAATAAAAAACAATTCGAAATAAATATTTATCTATTTATGGAGACAGTGTAATAAATCCGAAACAGCTTGTCCCTCTGGACACATCCGATAAATACGCAAACGTTTGGACTGGAGTGAAAAATAAAATAAAATAATATATCTACAATTTTATTAAGGGATAGGTGGAGAAAGAGGGACTTGGTTTTGATGCTCCACCCGTCCGGTGCACCTCCACTGATCTGAGGAGAATATCTGGACCGTTCAGATCTTCTCCCTGATTTAGTGGAGCTGCGGTGGAGAGGCTTGTGGAGGAGCAAAGCCAAGTCTGAGAAAGAGTCACGTATCTCTACGATTATATTCTATGCTCGATAACTTTGTATTCCCAATCAAGAAACGGAATAAACTATTTTAAGTCTCTGTAACAAAATAAAAAGGAAAAAATAGCGACAGTTCAGTAGTCAATTTCTTTTTCTTTTTTGTATTGTAATGGATATCTTGCCATTGAAAGGATCATTCCATACTAAACTATTACCTTATAAACAGAAAAAAAAAACACACAGATATAACAATTTTCAATTATTTATTTTGGGCCTGAATAATTATTAGTTATTAATTAATAATGATTTGATACATACCCAAATAACCCACATAGAAATGCCTGAGACAGAACGCTCCAAGTCATCTTCGGTCTTTTATTCCTGTAAATAATTTACCATATATGAGTCGTCTAAAAAGCTCTTAGATTTTATTTATTATATTGGGTTCCTTTGAACTGCAAAGCTTTGAACTAAAGTGCGTGTAATCATTTTCCAATAATGACTTTCAATAAATATCTCTACCCCACTACCTTATCTTGTGAATATTTCCAACTTTATATAATCAAGGGAATATTTTTTACCGTTTTCTAAAAATTTGACCAGTTATTAAATGATCAAAATACTGATTTGAAGAATAATGACCAAAACTAAAGTCGAACTATGATAAATCGACCATTTATTAAACTAGTTAAAATATTGTTTAACGGTTAATCTTTACGGGTTGACTCAAATTTATATAATATGATTTTTAGTTCATACATGTTATACATACATACAAACATACATGTATGCGTGGGCACTTTTTTCATACAAAGAAAAAAGTCATGAGCGTGAACCCAGATTATCAAAAATAAACCAGACCACCACTTAAGATCAGTGTCCACTGTGCAAGACATGCAAACTATCTATGACAACATAACGACATATGTTGTACGAAGATTCATATGATATTACTCTCTCTCTCCATTAATATAGAACACCGATTCAACACAAACTCTGATATAAACACCGTGGAGTAATTGATCAAAAAATAAAAAAACACCGTAAAGGAAAACAAGCACACAAATAAAAGAAATGAACTAGCCTTTCAAGAAAAAGAGCGAGAGGAGCAATGAAGAGAGTGGCGAACATATAGCGATAAGCAATGAGGATTCTGAGGTTCATGCCGTCGTTGACGGCGATCTTGTACAGCACATTGATTCCGGCGTATGTTATCTGAAGCACCACCATTAACATCGCTGGCTTTAGCCCCTCAACCACATCCCCAACGCCGCCTAACTTCCTCATCTTTAATTGTGATTAGAACCGATAGAGAGAGAGGGAGGGAGGGAGGGAGGGAGAGAGAGAGAGAAGGAAGGAAGGAACAAAGAGTGTAGTACGGTTTAATTGTTCATCCGAGGCAAGGAGACGCTGGTCTTTTCCTTGGAATCTTATATATAGAAGTCGCTTCTAATAATTATTTTACCATCTCATAGAAATTAAAATAAATATATAAATTATTAATATTTCTTAAAGAAGTGAAAAAATTATTATTGTTCAATATATTATCTTTAAAAATAATTTTTATTTCATATATAATTTTTTCTACTCAAGAAAAATTGTAATAGAGTAAAGTTTAAAAAAAATAATCCATAATTATTTTAAACAATGTTCGAATTTTTGTATATTTTTATATTTAGTATTCTATTATATCTTGAATATGATTATGGAGGAGGATATTCATGAGTAATTAAAAAAATAATGATCAATTTTCTTAAAAAAAGAACTTGTAGAACATGGCGCACTTATTCACGGAAGAAACAGAGAAGGAAAATAAGGGAAGTGTTGTTACATCCCACGGCACGTCATCCATTGACTACATTGCGCCACCTGCTTGACACGTAAGAGCTGGCCCTTCTCATCTTCTTCCACACTTCCACTCAATTAAATTCATGCTTTCAGTTCACCGCGCGACACCATGCTCATAGCTCATACGACGTCGGTTAAACGTAATTTTCTTTTCTCAAATCAATAAGTTAACTAGATTTTATAGCCATGCAATACATAAGATATTAACTACTCGTTGCAATATAAGGGAATAAAGAGGACAGAAGATTTTAATGAGCTTTATAAAAATAGAAATGATTTGGTATTCTAAAATATAAAATACTTTTATAAAAATAAAGTTTCATTAATTATACCTGTTTCCACATTATCCTTCCCTCTTTATTATATTTTATTTCTCTATTTATATTTCACAAATAAAGTTATATTAAATTTAATATATCTTTGAAAATTTATGTCCATGCTTTAAAATGATAAGATTGTAAAGTATATTTAATAAAATTTATTTGTATAAGTAATTTTGTAAAAAAATATATTATAAATTACTTCCTCTAAACTATAATATAAAGCATTGATAATCACTTCATGGTTCTAAAAAAAATTTAGTTGAAACATTAATCATTTTAAAAAAATTTACATCTTTTTAACTATACCCTTATTAAATACTTTATATAAGTGCTTTGATAATGATAATTGAAATTTCAATGCATCAATTTTTTTAAAAAGAGTAATAAATGAAGTAGTCATATAGTTAGAAATATAACTATAAAAGTTACTCAATACCCTACTATGTTATCATCCAAAGGGAATATATTTTAGTATTAATTTCATATTCACCACTTATTTATCATTGTGGGTCCCATACCCACCTTTTTTTAAAATTATAAAGCCATTGTAATATTTATTTTTATTTACTATATAATAATGAAAAATTATTATAAAAAATTAAAAAAAGGAGGTCAAATGGTTATTGTAGAACTACCACCACTACCACAAGAGACCCTATTACTTGACAGTTATTTTAACCTATATTTCATAGTTTTTAACTGTCAAGTAATAAGACGCTATATATTAAGGCCATACTTACTTGATGATTAAAAATTATCAAGCATTGGGGGCCTTACTTAACGATTATTTTTAAATAACCGGTCAAGTATATCCTTACATAATTGGTTATGTAAGCAAATACATGATGATTATTTACAAATGATCGTCAATTATTTTGGAGTACTTGACAGTTATTTATAAATTACCGTCAAGTAATTATGGCAAAAATTAGGCCTCATTTTTCTAGTTCTTGCCATAATTAGTTAAGAGTTATTTATAAATAACCATCAAGTATACAAATATCGCAAATCTAAGAATAACCAATGCTTTTAATGGTACATCTTACTACGTCTTGCTGTGAATCTAACATGACTCCATTAAACTATACTCTTGTAATATCAAGTGAGCCACATGCAACATCTTTTTGCTTAATGCATCAACAACCATAGTAGCCTTACACAAATGGTATTCTAACTTAAAGCCATAATCTTTGAGAAGTTTCACATCAACTTCTTTGTCTGATATTCAATTCTTTCTGATTTACTAGATATTTCAAGCTCTTATGATTACTGTATATACTAAACACCACACCATATAAATAATGATGCCAAATCTTCATAGTAAAAACCATAGCTACAAGCTCCAAATCATGTGTTGGATACTGTTACTCATGCAGCCTCAATTGTCAAAATGCATAAGATACCACTCATTCGTCTTACATCAATACACATCCTAGACCTTTTGAAGAAGTATCTGTATAAACCTCGAAAGCCAACCACATATTAGGGATAATTAACACGAGCATTGTAGTTAACCTTTCTTTCAATTTCTTAAATACATCTTCACACCTATTATCCCATATAAATGGATGATCTTTTTTGGTCAATTTGGTCCAAGGAGAAATAGTCTAAGAAAATCCTTGAATAAATGGTCAGTAATATCTAGCTAATCTCAAAAAATTGTGTATCTTTATGACTGAACTAGGATGCTCCCATTTCAACACTGCATCCATTTTATATGAATTAACTGAAATCCTGTCCACAGAAACCATATGTCCTAAAAATCTAATTTTCTTAACCAAAACTTGCACTTGTTTTTAGCATAAAGCTAATTATATTTTAGAATCTAGAGTACAATCCTAAGATGTTTGACATATTGTTCCTCATCCTTAGAATAAATCAAAATGTCATTGACAAAAACTATGACAAAACTGATCCAGATAACATCTGAAGATGTGGTTCATATAATTCATAAATATTATAGCCGCATTTGGGTTTAGTGATAAAACCCCAGCAGAGCTTCATAATGAATACAATATTTTAGTTTTTGAGCTTTTTGAGGCCAAGACCCTTAACCTTTTTATCAGAAGTAATGCATTCCTAAGAGAAAAGGTAGGGTTTTTTTTATCCCATCAAATAAATCCTATAAGAAGTTTCTAAAAATTTTATCCAATTCTACCAATACATTCACTACTACATAAAAACACTACAGTGGCGTTTAAAATTTTAATTTTATGGTGTTTTTAAAATGCTATAAATTTCAATGCTATTAAAAGTCTTAAGTGTCATTTCACTAATTAATGAAATGCCACAAAAAGCTGGCACAGTGATGGCATTTCTTCAAATAAAAATACTACCTCTCAAAATTTAAAAAAAAAATAAAAGGAAAGAGGTGGTGTTTCTTCTAATAAATGGCACCTTTCTTCCTTTGTTTTTTTTTTAAATTAGCAAGCATAAATTTATATATATAATATTTCATATATTCATCAATTTATATACATAAATTTTTTAATAAATATATAACTAAGTTATACAATAATTTTTATCTATACAATTATCATAACTAAATAATTAATTTTTCATTATACAAAATTTCAATAAACTTACTATGATCATAAAAAAAAATCATGAGAGTACCTCAAATACTTCTTTTATATATTTATTGAATCTGTCAAAAATTTGAATCAAAGTCAGAGTGACAAGATATTCAAGATTATATATATATATATTGCAGAGGTAAAAATATAAAATTAACTTGCCTCTATATTGAACTTTTAGCAAATAGCAGCATAGCTAGGATAAGATAACCATAGAGCAATGTGTCTAAAAAATTATAATAAAATAATTATTTTATTAAAAAGCAAAAGGGTGGCATTTCTCAATGCAAGAAATGCCACCTCTCTGCTTTTAGTTATTAAAAAAATTATAATAAAATAATTATTTTAACTTATAAAAAAAATTAAATAGTACAAAACAAGAGAGGTGGTGTTTAGCTTTGGAAACACCACCTCTCTCAATTTATTAATTTATTAAATATTAATATATAATAATTATAAATTATAATTAAATACATAATAATAAAATTTATTGAATCCAATAAAATGAAATACTAAATTAATAACAAAGTATAAAGATAATATTTTAAAGCTCAATAAATGCCACTTCCTTGACATTTTTTGTTAAATAATATAATATACTAATTAAAATTATTAATTTAATAAATTATAATAAAATCATTATTTAATTTGATAAAAAATAAATCAATAATAGAGTAAAGAGGTGGCATTTTTAAGTTTCAAAAATGCCACCTCTCTGCTTTTTAATTATTAAATAATAATATACATTAATAATTTATACTAATTAAATAACTTAGAATAACATAATCATTTTAATTTTTAAAGAAGTTAAATAATACAACAGAAGAGAGGTGGTGTTTTCAATATTTAGAAATGCCACCTGTCTCCATTTATTTATTATTAAATATTATTAAGTATTAATTATAAATTTTAATTAAATAATTAATAAAATAATTATTTAGTATGATAAAATAAAATATTAAATTAATAATAGAGTATAAAAGTAATATTTTTAAGCTCAGCAAATGCCACTTCCTTGACTTTATTTGTTAAATAATATGATATACTAATTAAAATTATTAACTAAATAAATTATAGTAAAATAATTATTTGATCTGATAAAATAAAATAACAGATCAATAACATAGTAGAGAGGTGGTATTTTCAAGCCCAAAAATGCTTCTTAATGATTAAATAATAATATTATATGTTTTTAATAAGTACTAATTAAATAAAATAATTATTTAAATTAAACAAATTAAATAACATAAAACAAGAGAGGTGGTGTTTCTAGCTTTGGAAACTCCACCTCACTCAATTTATTAATTTATTAAATATTAATATATGATTATTATAAATTCTAATTAAATACATAATAATAACAATTTATTGAATCTGATAAAGTAAAATGCTAAATAAATAACAAAGTAGAAAATGACACTTTTTTAGCTTTTTTTGTTAAATAATATGATATACTAATTAAAATTATTAATTAAATAAATTATAATAAAATAATTATTTAATTTGATAAAAATAAATCAATAATAGAATAGAGAGGTAGCATTTTTAAGTTTAGAAAATGCCACCTTTTTACTTTTTAATTATTAAATAAATATATGTATATATATATATATATATTAACAATTTATACTAATTAAATAACTTAAAATAACATAATCATTTAAATTTTTAAAGAAGTTAAATAATACAATACAAGAGAAACGCCACCTCTCTTGTATTGTATTATTTAACTTCTTTAAAGATTTAAATGATCTTTGAAAATGCCGCCTCTCTCTCCATTTATTTATTATTAAATATTATTAAGCATTAATTATAAATTTTAATTAAATAATTAATCAAATAATTATTTTTAAGGGAGTATAAAGGTAATATTTTTAAGCTCAACAAACGCTACTTTTCTAACCTTATTTGTTAAATAATATGATATATTAATTACAATTATTAACAAAATAAATTATAAAAAAATAATTATTTTATCTGATAAAATAAAATAATAAATCAATAACAGAGTAGAGAGATAGCGTTTCCAAGCTCAGAAAATGCCACCTCTCTACTTTCTAATGATTAAATAATAATATATATTTTTAACAAGTACTAATTAAATAAATTAATTATCTTAACTGTAAAAAAATTAAATAACATAAAACAAGAGAGGTGGCATTTCTCAGCTTTGGAAACGCCACCTCTCTCCATTTATTAATTTATAAAATATTAATGTATAATAATTATAAATTTTAATTAAATATATAATAATAAAATTTTATTTAATTTGACAAACTATTAAATTAATAATAGAGTATAAAAGCAATATTTTTAAGCTCAACAAGCGCTACTTCTTTAACCTTATTTGTTAAATAATATGATATACTAATTAAAATTATTAATGAAATAAATTATAACAAAATAATTATTTAATTTGATAAAATAAAATAATAAATTAATAACAAAGAAGAGAAGTGACGTTTCCAAGTTAGAGAAATGCCATCTCTCTGCTTTTTAATTATTAAATAATACTATATATTTTTAATAAGTACTAAATAAATAAATAAATTATTTTAATTTTAAAAAATTAAATAATAAAAAAATAAGAGAGGTAGCATTTCTAAGCTTTAGAAATGCTACCCCTATCAATTTATTAATTTATTGAATATTAATATATGAGGATTATAAATTCTAATTAAATACATAATAATAAAATATTATTTAATTTAATAAAATAAAATACTAAATTAATAACAAAGTTTAAAGGTGATGTTTTTAAACTCAGCAAATGCCACAATCCAGTTGTTAATAAGTCTTGCAGTAATTAATTTTTTTATGTGCGATCTCACTGTAATTCTCTCAAAAATATACGTTCAAATCATGATCTGTTTTTGTGGATGTTGTGTGAGAACCTTTTGTATATAATATATATTTGTTCTAGTTTTTATTAGAAAGACAAGTCTCCCACGGATGTCGATCCTCGTCAGCAAATAATAATAATAATAATAATAATCTAAGCATCGGGGAGCATTAACGAAATGTTTCCCAAAAATTAAAAGAATACTCTAGCCAGCTTGAAATGAGTAGCATTATTTGAAATAAATTGGTGTTATATTTATGTTTTACTACCTCCTGTCAAAAGGACATATCCAGAAACATGGAGGACAAATATGGGGGCCTAACACTAATTTTTACATTTTTTTATAAGTAAAATAAAAAAATTCCAATATTTTCCAAATAATTAATCAAATTATGGGGGCCAAGCTCCCCTCTCCCCCTACATGCATCCCTGATATAAGATTTATTTGAAAGTTTCGAGTTGCTCCTAAAGATAAGGTGTCATTTTTTTTTTCTATTTACCAAAAGAAAGTCTCATTTTTTTCTTGACTCCTATATTAATTTTTTTTTTGGTTCAATAACAACCGTATTTTTGAGATATTTTTATCTCTATGCATTAAATTTTAGTCATTAAATTGGAGGGCTATTTTTAGAAAAGTGTCACAAATTCTCTACATATATATTAATTATAACCTATCTAATTAATTTTTTATCTCTTCAATTTAGTTAAAAGCATTTTATATTTAAGACTTGGAAGAGGGAGTACATATTAATTATTTCTAAATAGAACCCATATAGAGTACAACAAGATTAGATCAGTCGAATAAATTCAACCAAAAATATCAGTGAAGCGAGTGATCCAACTGTCACTGATTTGGCCAAAGTAACCTTCGATTTGTTTTTTTTTTTTTAAATACAAGGTAAAAACCGTGCACGGGATAAAATTATGTTATGCCAGAGGTCATGAGTTTTCTGCACTGTTGGATCCTCGAGGATCATAATATCAAAATTTTCTCCAAAGGTTTGGTGGGCAATCATGTTAGCACATTCATTAGCTTATCTGGAGATATGGTTAAAAATAACCGTTCAATCTCTCATTATAAGATTTTTAATTTTCTTGATAGTTTCAAATAAAAGATGATCCTTGGTGGAGTTGTTGAATGAACAACAAAGAGCATCCATTCAGAGTAAATGTTGATTTTGTTAAACTTGGCATTCCAACAAATGTTGAGACTTACCCAACGTACTCAATAATTCCATAGCAATGCTAATTGTCAAGGTGGCGACCAAGATATCTGGAGAATCCTATAAACCGTTGTCTATGGCACCACGGATTGACACCACCACATACAATTGCCCCAATTGAAAGCTTTGGCTGTGTCAATTCAAAGCAATAATTTTCATGCCCACGTCCTATTTCCATTCTTACCAAGTTTTAGTGGCGTCTGCGGCTATAGGACCACTCCATTATAACTAACATTATTTTAATTGAGCTGTATTCCAATAAGAGATTGGGAAAAAATTGATTTTATATTGTAATCGCCTTCTAATTAACTTTATTATATTGATAAAAATTTATCAATATATATATATATAGGAAATTTTTTACCGTATAGAATATATAGAATATGTCAAGTTCTACCTCTATTTTTTTGTACCAAGCTCTACTAGAATAGTTAAAATTCCGATACGTCGTGGTGAGTTATATTCCAAAAAATAATATTCGGATTTTAAGGAATAATATTTTTACTTTTAGAAGATTCGGCCTAATTTTGAAAATTTTATCTTGTAAATTTGTCAACCTCTAAAATATATATATATATATATATATTCATATGAATACTTTATAAATACCCATTTTATGCAACTCTCGTTTTGGAAGAATGTATGGCCTTCCAATTCTGAATTTTCAGAATGGGGAGTTTATCTCTTAGCTTGGTTTTGAACAAAAAAAAAATATTTATGACATATCAAAAAAGAGAAAACACTATCAAATCTCACATAAACAATCTAAATATAAAATAGCCTTACGAAATCACAAGATTACCCTGAAGTCTCATATCATTTATTAAAGTTGTCAAGCTTGTTAATTATTTCTGGGATAGTTATTAGTGATGTTTTTCATTTGACAAGTAATAAACAACAATATAATTAACAATTATCCAATAGTAGTTATTATAATTTACATATAGATCATGCATCGTTCCATTCCATTTTGGATTATTACCAATAGGTATGATCGAATATGCTCTTTGAATGTTATTTCAAACACCATTATGCTTCTCCTTTAAACCAACAAAACATTTGAGGCTTCTTCAGTGAAAGAATCACATGTAGGATATGAACAACACATCATAGCTAGGCTTCTTCAATTTATTCAACAATCTATCATGTATTACTATTACTACTTCACTTGCATATTTTGATGAATGATTGAATGATCACAATCCTTAGCAAATTCAACTTCACAATTGTTATGATGACGGTTGATTTTATCATCCGTTGGCGGTGATCTCATCACAATGACTTCATCGAGGTTTTGAGATGGAATAAGTTGATTCATCTTCTTCATCTCTTTGCCTTTTCCCCACAAAACCAAGTATAATCCACACACTATCAATATTCCTCCTATTATACTGCAAATTTGCATTGCAAAGTCAATATATATATATATATATATATAAAGTTAGACGAACACACACACATATACACATACGTAACATCATCTATGTATGTGTGAAGAGTAAGCATGTGTATGTGTGTATATATATATAGATATACCTTCCAAGATATAGCTTCTCGTCCAACATTAAACAGCCAGCAATGGCCACAAAGACAAGCAAAAGAGGGTTGAAAGCAGATACATAAAGAGGGCCTTTCATGTTCACACACCATGCCATCACCACCACCATTATTCCAGACACAACTATTCCCTGTATGTTCATATTGTCATTAAAATTCACATACTTAAAAAAAAAAGCAGAATAGTGAAACTAAAATTTTCTTTTTATAGAAATGAAATACAAAATTATTGGGAACAATTGAGGAGTGAATACTCAAAACTAGGGAAAGGGAACAAATGAGTAAATGCTTGAAACATGCCACATTTTAATTCAAGATCTCAATATTCGAGTTTGAGTCCTTAATTCTATTTCAGTATATATTCCATTTAAAACCCAACTTTCTGATACTGGATTTTTCCCATCAATTAAGTCTAATTACATATTGGATGTCTTAACCAAAACTTACAAGAAGCTTAATTTTTACAGGTATATCAACAATGTACGTTAACTTGGTTATTAAATTTTATTCGATGCATCAAGAATCCAGACAGAGTTGAAATTAATATCAGATATCATACCGCATAGGCTGTTGTGAGAAGCCTAATATTCCAACCCAACTTCCATTGAGTCAGATCACTCTCAAAACAAAAAGCAAATGCAGTTGAAAACAATGCTGCCATTGAACTCATTAAAGCCGTGCTTGAATAATAATATGGGTAACTCTTGCTCATCTTCGCCTGTACTCCAACAGCTCAAACAATGTCAAATTTGCAGTGATACACAACAACGGTAAGCAGGCAAAACAAAAACAGAAAAAAAGTGTTGATTAACATAATAATATTATTCATTTTGAGAGATCGAAGAATGACCTGGATGATGAGCCATAAAGCATAAGTGGCGCTGCTTCCTAGAGAACAAAGGGCACCCAAGAGAGCCTTAATGCTAGAGGGAGCTAGTGGTGATGCCACGTGTCCCTTATGTTGATGCAAGAGGATCACGTGGAAGGAGCCTGTGTCAATTTTTGTCCCTTTCAAGAATGTTAGGACCATAGCCCCTCCTATTGCTATTATTGTTCCAATGATCTTGAGTTGTCCTGCTACTGTTCTTACACTCAGTCTTTCCAAGCTGTTCACAAATTTGAAACCCATATACTTTACAAAGACATCAAAACATAAATAAATACAAATAACTTTGAATTATAATTTTCAAAGGATGATGACAAGAAAATAAAAATTAAAAAATAAATTTAGGCCTTTAATTCTCTTATAAACGAAACAGTGCAAGTATATAGATAATCACTATACTACTTACAAAAGTAGATAGTCAAATTACTCAAGTATATTTAACAAAGAGAAAAGGCATTGCAATGAAATTAAAAATAATAAAAGAAAATAAAGGAAAAATTAAAAATGAAAAGGGAAATGCAATAATGAAACTCACCTGAAGGAGACGGCCATGAGAAAGGTGATGGCTGGGGTGAGATTGGCCATGGCCGAAGCAAAGGTTGCAGATGTTAAAGCCAATGACTCCAAGTAAAAGCTTTGTGACATTACTCCTCTACGTAATAATTATATATATCTTAATCAGTCAATTTATGCTATTTTTCTCTCTCTAATAATGTAAGCACTGTGTGTTTATGTGTAGGAAATACTCTCACTACAACATTTTGTTGCTATAGCAACAACTAGTTTTGCAACAGGTAAAGAAGTGTTGTCTAAGATTAGAATAGGCAACAATTTTCTGACTATAACATTTGAATGCCACTTTATGCTTGTTACAAATTATATTTTAAATGGAGAACTAAAAAAACCTGTTACTTATTTATTTACAATCAATACCCGCCCCCTAAATAATTTTCCTTAGGGGCGTGGCTCCCTTTCTTGAAGATTGACGCTCTTGTTAATTTTTGTTATTATTCTGCTTAACTCATATCACATTTATTTAATTATAATTTATATTAAAATATGAATATTTGAATTAGAAAAAAAGGAGATGACCATTAATTTCTCGAAAATCTCACCCCAAAAGTCGAAATCCTTCGTCTCTTTTCATGACGATCTTCATGAAAAGAATAACAGGTTTTCATTTGTTCTTTTTAGTTACTTAGCAGTGAGTATACTATCTAACAACTATATTTTCAAGCAAAAATATTAATATATATATATATATATATATATGCAACTACTGTGTCGACACGAAAATTATTAGTGAATTAAAAAAATATTCTTGAACTTTTCTATAATTAATATTACAATCAAAATTCTTCAAATTTCTCCTCTAATTCTAAAATTAGTACAAAAATTTTCCAAATTTTATTAAACTTATGCATACATAAATATTCTTTATTCTTTGAATTTGACTGAAATTATATGGTTTTTTCCTCTATTTACAAAAGATGGACAAACATTACCCAAAAGTAGAAATGATACTCGTGTATTTTACCAAATTTAAGAGAAATTTTGTAATTTTGTATTGAAATGAAGAAAGCGTATTATTTTTTCAATAGAAGAAAGTGTATAATTTGTTCTTCATTTTAGATGATTATGCGGGTTTTAAAAATAAGAAATAGTTTGAATAATAATAAATGTATTTTATCGAAGTTACGTGTGTGTTTGGATATAAGTTTGCACGCATGCAAAACTCTTAAGTTTTTATCATTGAAGAGAAAATATGCATGCAATCATCTAAAATATATGCAATGGGGCAATTCATGTAATTAATATATTTCTTATTTCAAGGGGAGATCCAAATTTAGAAAATTGATATATTCGTGTAATTTCAACAAAAGTAATGACCATATAATTAACTATCTAAAATTTTTCATTATTTCTTTTTTTGCTAAAAAAATTAATATGTCCAAAAATAAATTTTAATCCTATCACATATATACTTAGTCATTGTGCACCATTAATTACATGCATTATCTGAATAATTTTGTATGATTAAAAAGAATGAAGTGGAAGTATTGATTGTCATCACCTAATTGATATATACACGGAACTAAAAGCCAATTCGAAATAAGTATTTAACTATTTATAGAAAGAGTATATGAAATACGCAAACGTTTTGACATAGAAGAATAAATGTATATATAATTTTGTGGTCTAGAAAATACTACACACTTCATGAAAAGGTAGAGAAAGAGTCACGTATATATCACTATGATTATATTTCTATGTTTTGCAATACTTTATAACTTTGTTCTCCGAATCGAGAAACATCGATCTGAGAATAATCTTTGAAGTGTTTATTTATTTATTTGTATTTTAATGACCCTCTTGTCATTACAAAGAAGGGTAAGACTTATGTATTTAACTTTATATATGCAATATACTTATATCAAATCAAATCATGACATTTAAATCCTTATATATTAATTTAATTAATAACAAGAATTTATGAAAAAAAAATAATCTATGAAAGATACACATATCTTGATTTTATTAAATACAAGCATTTTAAGTATATAAATTTAAGTATACAAGTTTTTCTTTGAAAAGAATCCATATAACACACTGGCACACACGCAATGATTATCAATTATTTTTTTAGGGACATGAATAATGTACAACTATTAATTAACAATGATTTGATACATACCCGAATACCCCACACAGAAATGCCTGAAAAAGTACGCTCCAAGTCATCTTTGGCCTTTTACTCCTGCAAATAGTTTGCCGTGTATAAGTCATTTAATTTGTTGGGGGGGGGGGGGAGGGGGTGGGAAATTGATTTCTTTATTTCTTAATTAAGCATAGGAGAGCACAAATATTTTAATCTAAGATTCTTTTTTATTGGATTTCCATTGTCTAGGTCAAATAGCTAATCACCAGCGCCAAGCTTTAAAGTTTGAACTGCAAATTAAAATGTACCTCCTCCTCTGTTTCTATATATAAAAAAAGTTATCATTTATTGTTTTTTTATTTATAAGCAAAATCACATATATCTCAATATGCATTTATTACAATTTTTTTAAATTATCCCTCACAAACTCATAATTTTCATTGACAATAAACAATTAATGCAGCCTTGTTTTGATTAAATACAAGGGTATTTTCATCTAGTTTTTTTATTTCAAGACACAATTATTATAGTTTAACCAATTTTCTTAAACTATATGATGCCATTATTTTCTCTTATACTTCCTCTCCCTCTAATTCAAAATATAAGCATTTTCCTTTAACTAATCTTCATTCAAAATATAAGTAATGTAATATATGTAAAAATTATTTTTCTATTTTATCTCTTATATTTATTAATCTAGATACTTGTGTAAAGTTTTCTCTCAATGAAGTGTATTGGTAATTGAGACAAAAAGTAAAATAAAAAATAATATATATTTTTATAAAAATAAAACTTTATTAATATGTGAATTTTTTAAAAACTATTTATATTTTGGATTGGAAGAAGTATATAATAATTTAATTTTCTTATAATAATGGCTTTCAATAAATATCTCTACCCACCACCTTATCTTGTGGGTATTTTCAACTTACTGCCAATAAAATTATGTAGCTACTACTGTGGTCCTTGACTGTAAAATTATTTTTATTGCATGCATGCTTTATACTTGCATTTCTTGTATTTAAACTCGCCCGCCATGGAAGATGAGTGTTGAAAAGAAAAAAATCCTTTAACCAAGCACTAACCCAGACAGTTAATATTACAACGTAGCAATATAGTACGAAGAATCTTATTATATTAATTGTAACATATACATATATATATATATATATATATAAGAAATGAATTTACCTTTCGAGAAAGAGAGCGAGAGGAGCAATAAAGAGAGTGGCGAACATATAGCGATAAGCAATGAGGATTCTGAGGTTCATGCCGTCGTTGACGGCAAGCTTGTACAGAACATTGATTCCGGCGTATGTTAACTGAAGCACCACCATTAACATCGCCGGCTTCAACCCCTCAACTACATCCCCAACTCCAGCCATCTTCGCCATCGTTAATTGCGATCACAATCACAACACACAAACAGAGAGAGGGAGAGAGAGAGAGGGAGGGAGGGAGGGAGGGAGCAGAGAGTGTTGTAGGGTTTAATGCGTTGTGGGTGACAGATGAAGGAGGTATTTATGGAGGAATAAGGAGGCAAGTAATGTGGTTTTCCACGCAAACGTTATGCTCATCATTGTAATTAGATCCAACTAGTTATTTTTTAGTATAAATTTTAAATGATACAACAAAAATTACTATCCTCATTTATCGTTTATTTCTATTATATAATGTTATTGTGTTCTATCAACAATCATATCTCTAAAAATATTGTTAATTAAAAGATTACTTTTAATAATTTTATTTAGTGTTATCTTAATTAGTCTTTCTCTACTCTCCCTTTCTCATGTGCTGATTGCAATTCTTAACATCTTCATCCTAGTTGCCTCAACTTTATGTTAATTGTAAGTTATTATAATTGGAAGATTATCTTTATTTTAGATTTTATATTTACTAAAACTATAAGTGATATAAAATATAAAATATAAAAATATTAATCTGAAGCATCTAATTTTAATCTACACTGTCCAAATTTATGGTCATCACCTGGTGATTGATTTTATTAATTGCACCATCTGCTTGACAGCTACGTGCTCTTCTAATCTGCATCCACACTAACAATCAAATCTCACTGAAATTGTCCGGAAAAGTTTTATTATATATATCCTTATTAAATTTAAAATTTTAAAAATCATAACAAATTACTCAATTGTTTTCAATTACGAAAACTTTTAATTCATAACTAAAATATATAAAAATTTAACCTAAACTACTAGGAAATAAATAATATGGACTTTAATAATTTTTGAAAATTATTATATATTCCTTCTTTTTTAAAAAAGATATATTTCCTTATGTTTTTAATTAAGTGCAGAGAATGTCCAAGAATTTTGAGTAAAATCAATGAAATGTGTAACTTAATCTTTGTTTCATGATAATTTTGCATCAGTCTTGAAAATAGAAAACAGTATATGTAAATTCACCAAAAAAAAAGAAAAAGAAAAAGAAAAAGTATATTTAAACAATCCGGATTATTTTATTCACTTCCTGTGATCAATGGAAATTTTTGGGTACACATTTGATGAAGTATTTGCTTTAGTTATTCATAACTATATAACTAATATGTACTCCATTCAATCCCTATTATAAAGCACCTCTAACCACCTTATTGGAATCAAGTATAGTAAACTTTTAATTTTATTTATTTAAATAAAAAATTTGAATTGTATTACATTCTCTCTCAAAATTAATGAATATAAATATGAGTACTATTGAAAAAATTTAATTAATACACCCACTAAGGCATCAAGTGCTTTATATTAAGGATCATTAATCTCCCCTACAAGGCGTCTTGTAATAAGATTTGGATGGAGTATGTTTATAATTCAAGTACTAGACATAATATTTTGTATACTATATATTTGAAGCAACCTAGCACTCCAAGATAGTGACGGCAAGCCAATTTTTTTTTAAATTACAATAATTATTTTCATTCGGCCAAAAATAAAAAATAATTATTTTCATATGATAAAACATAAAAGTTAGCAAACTCAATGGTCAAAAGTAGAAAACAAACCAGCTGTATCCTAAACCCATAGAAAGAAGCACATAAATAAATCATAAAAATATTAATATAGTGAAGGTCATTAAAAAAAATATACATATATAATAATTTAAAAATTAAATAATATTTAGCCAATGACACCATAACAATCACAAAAGACAAAGCTCAAAAGCTACTGCATCTCTTGCACTTTCTCTTATGCTTGATTTGGATCAGGGAGTGCTTAAAAAAGAAAAATAAGTATGGGTCCTTAGCGTGTTTTGAATTGATCCTATGTTTTTTTTTTTTTTTTTACCTCTAACTAAGTCGCTTAAATTTCATATGTTTGCATCATTACTTTTTATATTTTTTTTAGGTAAATATAACTTTTGATCCCTATATTTTACTCGTGTTTTGCTTTTAGTCCCTATAATTTTTTTTTTATATTTTAGGTCCCTCCACTTTTATTTTCATTGTTTTGGGTCATTTTAAGGTCCTTGTAATTTGCACATAGAGGGACCAAAAATAATGAAAAATAAAAGTGTAGGGACCTAAAATATAAAAAAAAAAGTATATGAATCAATAACAAAATACAAGTAAAGTACAAGGATAAAAATTTATATTTACCCTTTTTTTAGTGGAAAGGAAATTCATTAAATAAAACTACACATGCAATATGTACAAGAAAGTTAAAAGCAATTACATCATGCTTTTAAAGATAAAAAAAGACCTATGAGTATGATCTATAATAGCTTTAATATGTACGGAAGGAAAATTTATTAACAATCTCTCAGTGAAAATATGCTTGTTGCAAACTTATATTTTTAAATATAACTATAATGATCAATTCAAAACACGCTAGTTAAGTTATTAATTTTATTTGAAAATAAAATAAACTTTTAATTTCACCCCTATTTAAATAAAAATGTTTAAATTGTATTATATTCTCTCTCATAGTTAATGAGTTTAAATAGGAGTAATATTGAAAAACCGTAATTAATTCCTATAGTGGGCCTTGTATTAAGAACCAAAAAAAAAAATGTTTCTAGAAGGTGCCCCATATTAGAGACCAAAGGGAATACATAAACTTGTGTTATTTTTGTGCTGACTTATTAAAATTATTATGAGTTGTCTGCAAAACAAGTGGAAGACCAAAAAAAAAAAGCAAGTAGGACTTAAATCAAAAATCTTGAAGAAGACATGATAGACATGGAAGATGGATAGAAAGGCTAATATTATTTTCTTTCTAATTTTCTATCCATTAAAATAAGTAGAGCTAGTAATTAGGGGCGATTCTTGAAGGACCAAGCCTAAATTACATTTTACAAAGTCAATTAGACCTTAGGGCTCGATATTGCAAAGCCGGACCCTACTTTTAGGGTTAAAGGCCTAAAAATATATACATTTATAATTAAAAAAAGTTATTACATATAAGGTAAGTTTAACAAAAAAATTGGGTAATACACACCATAACAATCAACAAATATATGTAAAACTTAAGCATCCAAGTATAATATTAATTAACAACATAAAAATCAACACAATAAAAATTAGACTTTGCTACATAATCAATAAAATCTTGAAAATTATCATTATCATTATTACCAATATTAATATAATTTGATCATTTTTTTTGTAGAGCCTTCTTTATAGTAAAGATATTAAACTTTTAGTTAGTCTTTATTTTTTAAATTGAATTAATTCTTAAAAAATAATAAAAATAAAAGGGTTGGTCCTTTTAATTCTAGGCACACCAGAATAGGTCCTTTTTAAACTCAAATTATCATTTCTTACTTTAAAGTACAACCTAATTATTGCTATTTATGAGCTTAAAACTCAAGCCGCATTCTAATTGCTGGCTCTAAAAAAACAAGGGTTGCAATTTAGTAGCCCTTTCTTTTTCATCTTTCTCTAACTGTGTGTTTGCCTATACTCACACTCTTCACCTTCCTCAGTTACAGTTTTCCTTCCATTTTCCAAATCTTGTCTCAAAAGCAAATCATCAATAAGTCAACAACCACCACTTTTGTCCTCAGAGAATAATAAAGAAATAAAAATTAAAGAAAAATTAAAGGAAAAGTATATGTGTGTGTTCATTAGAGTCTGGTTAACTTTAACTAAACTACAACTCTCTATAGAAATCTGACTATAATTTTGTAAAACAAATTATTAATTTGGTGGGCTTAAAATATCAAAGATTGCAGTTGTTGGGTTGAAATAAAAGTATCAAAGACCTTCAGAAAAAAATTTCGACTAGACTAAATTTGAATTTGACCTTAGTGGAGGTAGGTCACAAGTTCAAATATTAAATACTATAAGTTTGCAAATTGAAGGGGACAACGGCCTACCTCATCAACACTAAGGTCCGCTTATGGTTGAGATGAAGAGTGGTTATAGATAAAGCGATTGGCTATATGAGTATTAAATATGATTATTTATTGATTGAAAACATATTTAAAATACTATATGTATATGTGTGTGTTAAATATATAAACGAATATTTCATATTACATATGTTGGCTCAAGATTAAACATTTATATGATTGATATATATTACATATACTGTGTAAGCTGTTTCTTTGAAAGCCTCTCATTTTGAATTGGCTCGCATCCTGCGCTGTATGCAAAGTATAGTTATCGAAGAATGACAATGATGTCCTAAATAATGGAATTAATGATAGTAAGATTCTGGGTGAATTTGTCTTCAATAAATAAATTATAAATATTAATTAAAATAGGTGTAAATAGAAATTCTAAAATTGGAAACTGAGATTTACATTTAAATTTTAAATGTTATATTTGTAATTAGAACTCCTCAATTTGTAATTATTTAAATTGATATTTATGACTTTATTTTAAAAAATTAGGAAAAAAATCATTTCTTGATAAGCCTTGTAGTTACCCCAAATTTACACAACAATGCACCAATGGATATGAGGTAGAGCCAGTGATTCATGTGAGCATCATTATTTTGATTGAACTTAAAATATTTGAACATGTAAAAAAAAAAATCATATAGACAAGCTTAGCCCTCAAACCTCAGGATCTCAAGCTTATTCGAGATAGCCTGAATACCCGAATTGTAAATAGTATATTATTTTTTTCTTTTTATAGCCAATTTCAATTTTTATTTTTAAAAATTTAAAATTTTCAAGCAACATAACACTACAACACATCTTTTATTTCATCCTTATTGAAGTGAGACAAGTCATTAAAAGCATAAAAATGAAAGCATATGGATTAACAGCTTGTGTTTCTTTTTAAAATATTTTCAAAAAACATTCACAACAAACAATTATTAGAACATTAAAACTTTATTTATGGTGCAAAATGTGCACATTGAAAGTTATCAGAAGATTTGTGAAGGATAAGTGTAAGTTAAAGTGAACGTTAATTTCATATTATCTGTAATAAAAAGAATTTGAGTATTAGAGTTAAGCCCATTTGAATTCAGGTTTGGCCTGGATTTC